GAGCTAGCAACATGGCACACGGCTAGTCTATGGAATGTATCAACATATGTCAATCAAGAAATTTCCAGGTTACAAAGAACTCAGACAACTTCCAGTTCCGACTGGAGGGACTGTGGCTGAGGTGTTTCTCCTCCAAGGGCAGGAAGCAGCAGCAGAAATGTCGTGTGCTATGGTAGGGACCTTAGCTTACTCACCCTCAGACCTCCAGCCCCCAGCTCAGTGCCAAGGAAGCCCAGTCCATATTTGCAAAATGAAGCAGGGCGGTCTGTGCAGGAATCAGGCAAAGGCAGAACAGCTACCCAAGCTCCACTGGCTGAGTTCCCCACTCACTGCCACTACTGTTGTGGAGAACTGCTGTAACAGTGAGGACGTGCCATGTGGAACACTGTCAGTCAAGGGTAAAGTGGAGGAGAACTGGCTCTACAGGGTTAACTGCCACACTGGATGAGACGTAAACAGTAATCTCCGGATAGGTTCTGTTGATATCTCCGTCTCCTGGGATGGTCTATGGATGTAAACACTTTATGTGTCTTACTGGCAACTGTTCCTGAATAGAAACAATTTTGACTAATAGAAGCCAGAGACTGGCCCAGTTAAGTTCATGTAATGTTTATTACATTCAGCGGCAATTCTGCAATAGTGAAACCTGCCATTCTGTAAAACAACAGTTTGTGTGCTAGATACAGTCGGTTCTCACCATCTGAGGTGGTTATGCTCTATAGAGTCACTGTGAATTAGTGAATACTTGCCCGATTCTGAGGGAAAACGCAAAGTTTAGTTCCTGGGAGCCTCTGGTTATAACATTTTCATTAACCAATCAATACCTACACTTGCTTTATGTGTTTTGTTTAAAAACACCTAACTAAAGATATACTGTTGATTCATTAACATTAACTATATAGCCAACAGCACTAGAACTCACACCTGAACAAAGCTTATGCAACTCACATGTGGCACATGGCCGTGTTCTTATGCTTAGGAACCATAGACGGCACTTAAGCGCTGCACTGGAGCCATTTTAAACAGCAAACCACCAACAAAATCCACACAAATGTGAACAAGATGGCACTAAGTACACCACCAAAAGGAGGCCTGTTCATGGTGGTCCCGATCCAGACCCCAAGAGAGGGTACTTGGATCTCGTGTAAGAAAGAATTCAGGGCAAGCCCACAGTGTAAAGTAAAAGCAAGTTTACTAAGAAAGTGAAGTGGTCAAAGTACAGCTCCTCCATAGACAGAGTAGGGCGTTCCTGAAAGTCGGAGGAAGGACGTGTCCGCCCTAGGCACAATGCTCATGTATATGGGGAGATGTGCTCTGCCACAAGGATTTGTGATAAAGAATTTTCTTAATTACTATATTTTGCAAAAATCGGTATTATTATCTTTAAAACAAAATTAGGAATGCCTTTCTTCTCCAGATATTGGGATATCTGGACACTCCCAAGTCTGAGTCTGTCTAGTAAACATTATTAATTTGTTTCCTTAACTGTAAACATCTAGAGGCTAGGAATGCCTGACTTTCTGGGAAAGACTCTCAGCAAGTCCCAGGCTCATCTCTCCAGCCCTCACTCAAGATGGAGTCACTGTGGTTCAAATGCCTCTGGTAAGGGGATGAGAGCTGCAACATGTTAGAAGCAGAGTGTTGCCTGGTTCAGCCTCAGCTGGAAGCACTGTTGAGTGGTAGTCTTCTGATGCTCTGTACATATCCCTGAATGACCACAGAAGCACCATGGAGTACTGATTTGGGGGCTACAAAGAAATTTCAGCAGATAGGTACATAATGAGGATCACCTGTACTTTCCACTTTCCCCCTGGAACTCCTCTGGGCCCTGTTCCCCCTGGCTCTGCTCTGGGAAGCAGACACATGAGGACTCCTGCATGGTGACTTCCTGTCCAGCTGCCGCCACCACCAAGGACAGGCCCCAGGAGGAGGCTGGGGGGCAGAAGCAGAGTGAGGTGGGCAGTTGCTCCTTCCCTCCCTGCATTTAGTCCTTTACTAAAGCTCACAGGTCCTGCCCATCCTCTATGGAATGTCTTCCTTTCTCCCCCTTTATCCCTAAGGTTAAGGGGTGACACCCAGCTGCTGCTAACTTCGGGGGTACTGCAACATTCCTTGTTGGCTTCCCTAAACCCTCTCTGAACTTTTAAAAACAGTCCCTTTCTTAGACTTTCCTCAGTGTATGCTACCTGCATCCTTCAGGATCTTGTTAACAACATTCATTAACACAGGAGGGATCTCAAAACTACACGGGCCATGGGGAATTTTGACACCACAGGAAACTCCCAATTCTTCAGTCTACACAGGCTCAGTCTTGTGAAACGATTGTAAATATGAATTGGAGGTTTCGCTTTATTAATCAAAAGCAGCTGGAAAAGAGTCTGCTCTTTGGATCAGAGTCAGGGAAGGTGGAATTGGTGCCAATAAAAACTCATCTGAAGCCTGTTGCTAAGAGAATTGAGTATTTTTAGGTAGTGTCCCTTAAAAATCACTTTAGGAGAACATCGCAGGCATTTAATTATACCTAATAATGCAGATTAAAAGGGCAATGATTTTTACTAAAGTGTGTTATACACTTATTTCCCATCAGATTTTCCCAAACTTCCTTCCTCTCTGGCAGAGATTTTCATCTCTCTTTTTCTTGCTACATCCTGGCAGCCAGTACAAAAACATGCGTGGTAATTTCTGCTTTCCCGTCTTTTAGAACACCTTAGTCTTTCCACTTCCCGTTAGTTTCAATCTGGATGTGCGGGGCTCGCTCAGGACTTTATAACCCTGCTGTGTCCCATCCTAATCACCACGGGTTGTCATGTACTATGGACCTTGTTAAAGATTTACTAAGTTTATGTTTCAAGGACAAGGTGACAAGTCCATCTTCTGAAAACAGCTGACAAAGAGGTCCTTGCCACAGGCTTGCTTAGTACTTACGGGGGCGCCATTCACAATTTCCCCAAGGCTGTCTGCACTTGATTTCACAGGCTAATTCATTAGGCTCTAACATCATAACTATCTCAGCCTATTAATCAAGATGAGCAAACGCAAGCTTCATTTTATCAGCTCTGCAGGACAGGTCACTAAAAACTGCCTACTTTTTGGTCTTTACCTGTTCCTGGCATCATTGCTTTCCTTATCTAATTCCAAACAAAACGGTACACTCCAGAGGCCTGATGTGGCAGAGGCATAAGGGCAGTTTCTGCAAGGAGACAATGCAGCCATGCCTCTCCTTGGAGAAAAACTCAGTCGAAATTTGCCTGAAGTGAGGAGCTCAAAGCCAAGAACATGTGGGCCTTGATCCTTCAGTAACATGTTTCATATTTGGGACTAAAAAGTTAAAAAAAAAAAAAAAAGATCAAACACCCAGGCCTTTCAAGGTGGAGAAACTGCAGAACTGTTAATACCATGTAATAACCCATCGATTTCTTTTTTTGTAGGATACTTAGAAAACTTTATTGGGGTTAAAATTATCTTAATATTTAAACATGAAGTACACTCAATATACTATCCTTTTAATTGATGCTTAGTTTTTAATTTTGAGGGCCATTTGAGACTAGACGATTTACAACAGTGGTTCTTAAACTTTTTGAGCTCAAGACCCCTTCATAGATTTTTAAAATTATTGAGGATCCCAAGTTTATATGAATGTTCTCTGAATATTTATAATACTAGCTATGAAAATGGAGAAAGATTTAATAAGATTTACTTATTAATTTAGTGAAAACAATAAACCTATTATATATTTTTAAAATAGCATTTTTAAATAAAAAATATTTTTCAAAAAAAAAAAAAAAACCGAGTCAAGAGTAGTACTGCTTTACATTTGACAGCACTGTCTACCGCCTAACTCTGTGGGAGGAGCCTGAATGCGCAGCCCTTCTGCACCCAGCCTGTTGGACAGGCTGTCTGGGCCATGCACACAGAGAAAAGTCAGCCTCAAAGACATTCAGTGGCAAGAGTGCCAGTCTCAAAGACTCGCTGACAGGTTCCAGGACCACACCGTGAGAACCACTGACTTACGACCTAGCTCATGTCATGAGGATGTGTGTTCAAGGTCCCACCTCCCTGGCATGAGAATGCTTAGAAGCCCCAGTCTCAAATGTATGCCACACCACTGTGGTCCTGGAAGCCAGGATAAAGCAGGTGCAGGAGAGACTGACTCCTTTCTCTACTTGCTCTTCCACTACATGGGAGAAATTGGGCAACTTCATTTTCCTTAAAACATGGGCAGTATTAAAAAGCTTTCCCTCAGCTGTTTCATTCTGCCCTGGGCTGAGGGAAGGCAGGTATACAGAAAGAACCCTTCAGGCAGACAGGCATGGAAAAGGAAACAGAGTGAATGCCAGCAGAAAACTGGCATTTATTCAAATATCTAGTTTTATTTCAAAACTCTCCAGTTACAGATAAGTGGTTGCAAGGCTACCCTGTTTTAGCAAGAAATTAGAATTTGCAGAAATTGCTATGGTGATCTAATGTCAAACTTGCTGGTCTTTATGTGTGGCAGGAAGAGAGAGTGGCCATGTTTCCTAAGGGCCCATAGGACCTGGGCCACAATGGAGGCAGGGACCAAGACCCTAGACAGGGGCTGCTGTGACCAGGACCCAAGTCTGGCCTCTCATGCCTTTGAGTTGGCCCTGGGGAGATGACTGGTGCTGGAGACATTAACTTAAAAGTCCGATTGGAACCAAGAAAACTCATGAGCCAGAAAAATTAACTGCTATAAAGAATGAGAAACTTTATGAACAATATATTGGAACTTTTACTAGAAGTGCTCAAGTGCTGAGCCTCACTTCACTACATTCTAGCCCCTCACAACCTCTTTCCAAAGAAAAGGAGGTACTCCTAGAAAGGGAGAACAGCAGAAGCTCTTGTTGCTCTTATCAGTTGTCTGGGGGATCCTCTCAGTGAGAGCATGTGTGGAAAAAGTCCTGGTCAGATGCACTGGCACTGCCAACAGCAGCTCCCAGATACCCCAGTACCTGAAAGCCCATGTGAGTTCAAGCACGCACCTCATTGAAATGAACATCTTGCATCCCCACGTCTTCCATCATGGAGGCCTCCTCCTCGATGTTTGGGGTAATGACCCTGAAGGCAGTGCATCCTTGTCTAAACATGCCTGGGAAGAGAGAGAGCAGGGAGAGCCAGAGTTAGGAACCTGAACATGGGTGAACCCTGAGGGTTCTTCCCGCCCTGTGTGTTTCTGTGTTGAATGAAATAACGGATTTTGAAATCTCTTAGGCACCAGGACAGCATTCATGTGGTCGCCTGGGGCTGCTGTGCACTTTCCTTCATTCACTTCCCCATAGTGAATCCTCACCTCCTTCACTTTCTTTTCCTGATCCCTTTTTAATTTTTTAATCTTACCTTTATTAAAATGTATGCAATCTCTAAAGAAACTGAGAAATAGATATTAAATCAAATTAATCGTGAAATAACAAGTGAAAATTTGACTTGGTAGGATGACTCATGCTGAGATACTAAGAAAAATGAAGTCGAAGCCAATACAAGGGAAATGTATGACTCAAAAATAACTGTTTTCTTCAAGCTGTCATCTCACCCACTCTGGCTGGGGGAGAACACATCTCTCAGATGAGAGCTTCCCCACACAACCCAGGTGTAGCTCTGTGGCCACCGTGGTGAGCAGAGAGGCTGCCTTAGCTGGTTTCCACTCCAGTGGCCCCGGGGTGAGTGGCTGGCTGCATCGACAGCACATGGACGCCTGGTTACTCCGATTGTCCAAGGGGAATGGCGTTAGCTTAGAGGTAGGATCGATGTCTGGGATAAGGATATCCTTAAGCAATGACAGCCCATTTGGGAACCTTTCCTCATCGTAGAGTCACTGGAAAACAACTCTAAGTCAGTTGGACCATGTCAGCTATGCAAAATGATCAAGTGAAGAAGGGCATGAGATGTTCCACTACTCTATTTTGAGATAACTGTTCACAATAAAATAAAACAGAAGTAAAAACTTGAGTCGAGACTTCTGCATTTAGGGAGAAAGAGGAACACAGCGTATTTTGAAATCGAGCCTAGAAAACGGAGATCCTCAAGTCAGAGACTTTTCTGCTGCACAGGACCCCAGGTTTCCACACCATTCAAGGATTATCTAGCATCTCTGCCACTATCCCAGTTTAGCTTTGTTTTTATTTTCTGATATGGAAACACGAGTCCCTCATGAAAAGCATTAATCTAGGAGCTTGAGGATACATGAATGTACAAAATACAAAATTAAAAAAAACTACCCATGTTTTAGGCTACATAGTACATTTAACCACATAACACGGCGCCAGTAGAATAAAATGGTGGCCAAAGTCCTTTCCTCTCGTGCCCACAGGAATAGACCAGCAGCCAACCAGATAGCCAGAGAGTAGGAGGGAAGGAGAGTGAAGTCTGTCCATGCAAAGTTGAAAGGGCAAATCCCCCACCACAGGAGGGCAGATGACCAGGGCAGGGGGTCCCCGGGGGCTGGGCTGACCCTCAGGCTCACCTCCCCGGCTCCTCCTCAGGCAGGCGCTATGGCTGTGGGGGAGAAGGGGCGGCTCCCACTGGACTGCTTCTAAACATGAGGAAATGCATCACCTGATGAAAGGTCTCAACAGGAAATAGTACTAGTATTAAATGAACATGGAGCCGTTTTACAATTTTTCTCTTTTGGGCTCAGCTGTTTCATTCCGAAATGCCAGCTGCACCAGAAATATACAGCTTGTGGCCTCGGCATCTACTTCTTTTCCTCATTAGCCCAGATCTGGTGCTGCTGTTCTCCCATGTAACACGAAGACTACCGGCTTCTCTAAGAACCTCAGTATTCTAAAAATCAACGTCACTGTTTGGGGCTGTGCTGATTTTGAAATGAAATAAGCACCTGCTGTTTAACCAAAGGGAACTTGTGAAAGAATTCATGGGCTGCTCGTCTGGGAACAAATGCAGAGCACTCAAATGAAGCATCACTCCTTGCCCCCTCTCCTTCCGCTAGGAGACAAGGTTTCCACCAGCAAGGCCGCCTTCTCAGACAATAAAGCCAGCTGGGCTTCAGTGCAGAAATGCTGTCTCATAATCTCCTGTTACAACTTTCTGATTGCTTAATCATCCCAGTGGGAACCATCTTAGGAGAAAATAATATCTATTTAGCTCTAGATTTGGCCAGATGCAAAGCTCATTAACTAGTTTTTGCAGAGTGAAGCTATCAGAGGAGGTTACATGACAACATGCCACCTACTTTTCTATCTAATCCTGGCATTTCTGCTGTGCCCACCAAATCAAGCAAACCTCACGCCAGGGGATAAAACAATGAATCCACTTCACAGACACACAAATCCCCACCTTCCAACCTTCCGGAATGGCTCTCACTTGTCTTCTGTTTGGTATGGTTTTATACTAATTAATTTCACAAAACATAGGAAGAATTCCTTACCTTTCCGTGTGAGATACTCTGCCACCAGGGCTGTTACGTGGACATAGCACATTGCTGCCTATAATAAAAGACACATGCCTCAGAACCATCATTCCTAACAGCACGTCATAACACTCCCAAACAGACAGAAGTCTAATGAATGTATGTACTTCTACGTTAGATCTCAAGGCACCAGCTAGTATTTCTTACAGCTGATATCTTACCTTTTGAAAAGAGTGAAATCACTTACATAAACTGAAAATCATTCATTTGGAGCTGAGATAAATGGTAGTACATTTGCTAAGGCTTGTTTCTATAAAGAGTTATTACATTTGTCATGTAAAAGATAAAAACAGCACTTTTTTCTTACTATACCTAATATTTCTGCATCATTTCTCTCAAAGTGAAAGGAGGACACTTTGAAGAAAACCTGTGCTCCTCCCTAGATTCTGAGAGAATGGCTCAAATTTCAGGTGCTAATATATATTTTTACTTGACTTAAAAATTAAGAGCAAACTATAATTTTTTTCCAAACATAAAAAATTCTAAATAAACATAATTTAATCTTAAATAGGTAACATTATATGTATCTTAAATTGAAATAAAAAATAAAAAATTATTTTCATCAAATTCCATGGTGTTATAAAAATCAGACAGCTGTTGGAAGTGAACCCACTGAACGGTTCTAATGCGTGTGGTTCTGAGCCTGTCAGCGGGGTGGGTGCCACCATGTGGTGCCCTCGTCTAGACCCTCACCACCAGCTAGCCAATGCACCAGCAGAGGCTGTTCCATGTGCACATGTGTAAACCAGTGTTAGCAGTGTGGCATGCACTCTGATGCGTGCAGAGAGAAGTCTGGTGGAGTGTGGAGCTATGCCCTGTCCAGTCCTCAGGGGCAGAGTTCATGCCTCCCACGGATGTCCCTCTTGCAGTGCCCAGCAGAATCACATGCATGGAACAGGCAGGAAAGTACATCATGAGTTACCGAGTACATACACAAAACACAGCAAGGGCAGTAAGAAATCTTATAAATTAGCTGTTTTTATCCCTTATTCACTGGGTATACTGGGTTGGGTAGTGTTCCCCGAAAGTTCATGTCCTCCCTGAGACCTCAGAATGTGAAGTTATTTGGAAACAGGCTCTGTGTAGGTGTACTTAGTTAAGATGAGGTCATACTGGTGTGTGGTGGTCCCTAAATTCAACATTACTGGTGTCACAGAAGGAAAAGAGACACAGGGACACAGACACATGGGGGAGGATGCCATGTGACCACAGGAGCAGTGACTGGGAGGGATGTGGCGACAGGCCAAGGAACATCAAGGACTGCTGGCAACACGAAGAGCTCAGGGACAGACATGGAACATGTTCTCCCCAAGGACATTCAGAGATGTGGCCCTACTTCCACTGCTGCGATCCTGGACTTCCTGCCTCCAGGACTGTGAGAGGATACATTTCTGTGAGAAGCCACTCCGTCTGGGTGCTTTGTTAGGACAGCCACATAAAACTGTTCACAGAGAAACAGCTGAGGCTCAGTGAGTTCTTCCTTTTCTTATTTTTAATTTTTTAGAGACCTGTGCCACACATGTCATTAAAAAATCTTAAATTATTAGAATGATAGAAAAATTACTTCTGTTAGTTATTCCTTTTTATTATGGCCAATGTGTGGTTTACAGTAAATTTATGGTCAAACAAAACTGTAAAGTTATATGTACTTTTTAGCATACTGAACTCCTTGAAAAATAAATATGTAAAAATAGTTAAAATTTTCAGACTCAGAATATAAAATTTACTAATTCTAACAGTTATAAAAGTTTAAAAGTCAACATTTGCTTGCTATAGTAATACTGTTGATCATACCTAAACAGCTCAGGCTCAGACACTGAATGAGTTCTCCTGGGAGCACAGACTGCCATGCAGCCAACTGCTTTCCTTAATTCCCCATTTTAGAGATGATGTCATTGAGCAATAGATGGGTAAAAAAACTGGCTCAATGTCACGTAGTTAATATTCAAAGTCCAATATTACTCGTACTGAAGCCCCCACACCCAACTCCCAGCCATGCAGTCTACATATTGAAACACATCAGCTCTGCATAGAGGGAGATGCTCAAATACCTACCGCATCCACAAAAGGAAATGGACCACCTCACGGAGGAGAAAGCAATGCCTGTCATTACCTTAATAACAGGAGGAATTCATTTTATCATAAAACAGCTGAATTTCAGAACTACAGAGAAGTACTGATGTATATTTTAATTAGCAGGAAGCTGTGTGAGTATGTTTAAGAGTTTAAACAATGCTCTTGGGTGACAAAAATAACCCCTTACAATTGGTTTTAAATTACTAAAATGCTCAGCTCACTAAAAAGTCTCCCTGAGCCTCAGACTGTTTTAAGTTTTGCATAGTTTTAATTGGTTTTTTATTAGTGGGATGATTTTCTCAACACTGGCATGTTTTAGTGGATGGCGCCTCACTGGTGTTTTCAGAAACCCGATCAAGCGCTCACAGGGCTACCTCCGAGAGATCCCCGTTCTTGACGTGGATCCTGGCCATGCTGTCGAGCCACGTCTTCCTGAGCTCAGGCGTGCTAGCGTAGGATTTGGCCAGGCTGTACTGGAGGTCCACCAGCATCTCCGGGTCATTCTCGTGCTCCTTCATCTGGGCAGTGGCCATTAGCACTGTGCGTATCCTTTTGGTCAAGTCCTTCACATCAGAGGAGAAACTGGTGTGCTAAAACAAGGGTGGAAGAAGAAAGGACACATGGTTTCCTCTGTTTTCTGCCTGTCCACATGCACCTCAGGTGCTGAGGAAGAGTCTTGGGGTGAAACTAACACGGATCAGGCCACCCACCTTGATGAGCCGGTCACTGTTGGCACAGTTGTTGATGATGGACAGGGACTGCTGGAATCTGGTTCCCCCAATGCCAACAACATCTGCTATCAGCTGGCTGACAGATATGATGACCTTAGGGACATACAAACATGAGCAAATCAATTTACCTTCAAATGACTGCCCAGGCTGGGCTTCTGCAAGTTAGGATATGCCTGAGGACAGGGTAAAATGGTGGGGGAGGGAAGGTGCTTTGAGCAGGGATTGCTCCAGTGTAGGAAACAATGTCTGAGGCATTTTCTTCCCCTTTAAGAGTAATTCCAGCCAGGCACGGAGGCTCACGCCTGTAATCCCAGCACTTTGGGAGGTTGAGGTGGGTGGATCACAAGGTGAGGCATTCAAGACCAGTCTGGCCAAGATAGTGAAACCCCGTCTCTACTAAAATTACAAAAAATTAGCTGGGCGTGGTGGCGGGCACCTGTAAGTCCAGCCACTCTGGAGGTAGACACAGGAGAATCGCTTGAACCTTGAGGTGGAGGTTGCAGTGAGCTGAGATTGCGCCACTGCACCCTAGTCCTGGCAAGTGTGAGACTCCGTCTCAAAAAAAAAAAAAAAAAGAATAATTCCAGAAAGTGATTTTGCTATCTCTAAAAATATATTGTTTGCAAAGCAAAATGCTAATCAGGAGAGCAAAGGGAGAAGGACAATGAGATAAGCCCACCCACTTGGACAGTTATTTACCTGTTATCTTCTCTAACCAAGAGGGAGATATGATTTACTTCTCAGTTTTCAGTCTGAAGTTATACGTATTAAATATGCAATGGGTAGACTGCCCTTTGCACTACTTTATCAGGGCATGGATATATTAACTGTGCAATGGGGGGGCTCTGTCTTTTTCTGGCTCTATGAATAGCACTGCCTTAATCCAGTTGCTCCAGCTAAAGCATGGAGGCCATCTTTATTTTTCCTTTTCCTTCACCACACCCAGGTACCAACTGGTCACCGAACGTTGTCAACTCAATCTCCTCTTCCTTCTTACCTCACCATTCTTGGTCTAGGATACCATCCTCTCTGACCTAGCTTTGACAATGGTCTTCCTAGCTGAGGTCTAGACTGCCCTTGACCCATAATCAACTGACAGTGTTGACTATGGGTCAAGGGCAGTCTAGACCTCAGCTAGGAGTCCAGAAGATCTGTCCAAATATGCAGTGATTTGAATATGCAACCTCCTCAACTCCTTCTCACCCATATTCTAAACTCCACAGTAAGGAACATCTCTAGTTCCCCAGATGGGTGCTGCCCAGTGGTTTACCATGGCCTGGAGCATGCTCACTGCTCTTCAATCACCAGCCCCTATGCATCCTTCTCATCCTCCAGGTGCCCCTCCTGATGCACTCAAGTTCCTCTATAATAGGAGTGGCCACACTTGCACTCTAAGAGTTCCAGGGCTTGTCTGTGACCTCCATTAGACTATACTCCATGAGGGTGGGGAGAGGGTTATTTTGTCATGGTTGTATCCATGAGTCCTATGTGGACTCTCTCTCTCTCTCTACACACACACACACATACATACATACATACATTTTTTTATGGGTTAAATGCAGAGATGGAAAAGGGACACCTACCATGTATTTGTAGAAAAACAGAGTTTACAAAAATGCACAAGTTGTGTCATTATGTTGGGTGGCTCTTAGAGCAGAGAATTTAGGATGCTTTAACTCTGGAGAGATAGCAGATGTGTCAGTAGGTGGAAGACAGAAAAGAACCACTTTGGTTGGGCTTTTTGTTTCTTACCTAAAATGTTTACTATTAAGTAACACTATTAAGTTCTAATACTTCTTGATTCAACAGAATTTTAATCAGTATAATACTGACTCAGTATTTAAATGTCAATTTTCCAACAGAAATGCATCTGGGGCCCACGTCTTATAGTAATGGAGCATGAAATAAACCAAGCCAGAAAATATGGCTTCCAGTTTCCCAGATCTTGCAGTATCTTTATGACAAGGTAAATTGGTCAATGTGATACTCAAAGTTTTCCTGATACAGCAGGATTCCAGAGTAAATCTGTACTGGAAAGCTAAACCACACGCACTTGCAAATGTGTCCGGACAAAGGACTTCTTTCCAGTGTAATCGAAGTTGTTCCTCATCAGGAAGTAGAGCAGCTGGGAGGCCTCAGTCCTGATGGAACTCAGCTTGGAGTTACAGCACTTGAGAATCTCGTAACACAGAGCCGCACACATGTCTGCTCTCCCTTCATAGAATGTTGAGGGAAACTAGACAGGATGAGAGGAAACAGATAAAGCACAGAAGGATCAGTGCTCGGTAATGTACCCTTCAATTCTGGGGGGAGGAGCCAAAACATCTAACATACCCATGAAACAACTTACCTTATAAATTAAGGATCTTAAGGCAGTGAAGACATTTTTTAAAGCTGTTTCAGACTGATGTTTTTGAAGAAAACACAGGTAGACATCAAAAACTTTTTTCATGAGAGGATTATGTCCATGGTCAGCCAGGAGCTGGTTCTTAAAACACACATTGATGGCTTTGTTAGTAAAACACACCAGATACCTCTAAGTAGGTTTCACACAATTTCAGGCTCAAGGATTAAATATTCTAAGTATTAAGACAACTTATACTTTAAATAAACTCTGCCTTGAATCCTCTAGGAAAGTACAGAATTATTTTGTAGAACAAACAAATCTATCAATACATTTACATTTTGGGAATAAACCTCCCAGCAAACTGTAATCCAGTTGAAAGGAAGACTTGCTTAGTACTGACAGGGCTTCTATTTATTAATATTTACTCATTTTTACTGTCTACCAGCAACTGATACAGAGGTGTCATTTGTGACATCTTAATTCCAACAGAGAAGTGCCATCACAGGTATGCATTAATTACAGATGGGAAAAAATACTCAAGTAAAGTATATGAAACAGGGCCTCAAAAATGAGGTTACTTCCCCAGGCTCCTAAGACACTATGCTAAGCTATGAATAATCAGAGTTTGGTAAAGTGGAAAATGTACAGGCTTCAGTCAGGTACCACTTATCGTGGTCATGAATTTGCACAGGTAAACTGAGTCTCAGCATCCTCATCTGTAAAATGGTGACCCTAAAACTGACCTTGAACACCAACTGTGAAGACATAAGGTTAAGCGTAGAAACCATCTTATACATACTTTGGTCTAGCTCAATAGGTAGTAGCTAGTAGGGTTTTAACATTTTGTAGATTTTACTTATGAAAGAAAATAGTAAGACTATAATTTGCTTCTAGTCATTCAAGATTTCCTCATGTCAGTAGAAAATTCACATAAATTAAACACTTTGGAAGCCTGGTTGGTGAAACTCCCATCAACTGCAGAATATACACAGTAGCTAGAGGTGTGACCCAGCAAGCAGCCAGTCAGAGCTTTGTGTCTAAATGTGCATGATACTGAGGAGTACCACCTTTCAATATGGACAAGCTATCTTAACAAAGCTCTGTGGGGGGAAGGATATGTGTATGCATTCTGCACAAGCAGGCAGATGTGACATCAATTTAAAAAATGTCAAGAGGCCAGTATCTCAAACCAATCTTAAAATTTGGCCAAATGAACAGGGGTAATTTATGTCCAAATAATTTTGCTACATAGCAAATTACGGTTGCAGTCATAGTTTCAGAGCAAGATTTACCTTGTCTTGTTGTTGAGGGGTATTTCTCCTCAAGGAGCTTTTGTGTTTTTAGGTCCAGTGAATTGTGGCTATATCACAGCTGGCAGAATACCTGGAATTCCCAGTGATCTTTCTATTATGAAATACTAAGGTACCATATCGAATTCCACCATGTGAAAGGGGAGCAATTTAATGAACAGAAAATGGGGCTAATTAAGTGAATATGATCTAATTCTCAACCATGAGCAGCTATTCACACACACAAGGAAACAGATTTCCAGTGTTTCCGGAAATGCTTACAAGTTTTATCTATGAACACCATTTTCTTAGGAGCCGTAGTTTAAAAAGGCTTTTCTCCAGCATTTATATTCCTAATTATGATTGGATTAAGATTTATGTGAATCTGGAGGTGTGACTTCATTTTCTTAGCACTCTTTGCCAGGGTTATCTAGGAGATATGGTTTCTACAATAATTGCCAAGTTTCCCAGTTCTGCTCTCTGAACTGGCCTATGTTTCTAATGTTTCTCTACTTTAGTTAAATTTCTCTACCCTTCTCTCTCTATGGTCAGGTTTTAGTCCTCTTTAGCTCTGATCTCAAAACTTGTTTGCAAGAATGGAGTTAAAACTCATTTACATTATATATCCCATAACCTGTTCTAAACCTCAAATGTATACAATATAACTTATTTTTTTAAATATGTAAATAACCCCCATTTAAATGGGTAAAGGACCTTTTGTCCTAGACACACCCTAGTTTCCTAACTACTTGACTTTATTTTCCAATCGTTTTTTCTCCCTCTGTCTCTGTGTCTCCCTACTGCGTTCTCATGAATTAGATAATTACATACATTAAATACGAACACATCTTTGAACATTCAGAAAGGCCCACAGGGGGCAAAAAAGCAAAACAAAAATCACGCTTAACTGTTCCACTCAGAAATAACCACAGATAACAATACAGGGTATCTTATTTCTGTATTTTTATCCCTATAGACTCTTGCTGAAGACTGGAAATTTTCACTTAGAAAACTAAACGACACATTGGAATAACATAAGGGCAGGGCTTATTTCTAGCAATAAAGTGGAGACTGCTTATCCAGGAATTCTCTGTCTTGGATTCAGGTTTGACAGTTGTAACATGGTCTCTCATGGCACTTAATCCGGAAGATGGGCCTTTCAGAAAATGAATGCTCAGTATCAGTAATTTTAAAAGATCCAGGAACACAGAGGAAAACAAATCTCTGTCCACACAAACGGGTGTCCAAGTGAGGTATCCGGAACAAAGCTAATTTAAGACAGCAAACTCTTCTCAGTCAGACAGCATTTATCATTATAGACACATTGATTCAAAAATAACTTCAACAAGTCAGTTTGGAGAAGAGCCATTTCTGTTTCAGATGTTTGCCAGTCACTAAGATGACCTAAGCCTCATGTGTCTGCAGACCAACTTCACGGCTGTGCAAAGCAGATCACAAGCCACCTTGCAAGCCTCTGGCTGCCCATGTGCTCCTCCTCTCTTGGTTCCTATTGTTGCCCATTATGTGTTACTTCTCACTGTGCAGTTCCAATCAAGAAGAGGCACTAAATGGAACTGCTAAAAATATATTTCCAGATTAAATCTATGAACACATTAAAAATATTATAAACTACTTGAAGGTCAGTATTGGTTTGGCATTGTGTTAATAACAGACATCAGAAAAACCATATTTTCCTGCATGTGACAACCTGTTTATAAAACAAACCCTTTTATGTACTGAGATAACATGTGTGAACGTATGCAGATTTGTAAATATCTGACACCTGATAAGTGTTTGCTAATTTTCTTCTTCTGTCTGTGTAAGAGATCATTCAAATACCTTGATCTTTACTCAACTCACCTCATCTTTCTCTCTCATACACATTTACACACATGTGACTTAGTGGAGAACAAGACCTTTGGACAGGCCAGTTGTGCAGTGATCTTGGGCAAATTTCCTAGCCTCTCCCAGCCACGATTTCCTCATCTGTAAAATGTGAGATAATTCGACCTACCAGGCAGAGCTGTTGTGAAGATTAATGCCTGAAGCACAGAAGGCACTCAATACACAGCAGGAAGCTAATGTAATTAATAATAACCAGAATTCTGGGATTAAATCTTTCAAACATTTTATCTTATTAAGAAATTGATTTCTGGATTGTCTTTGGCAATTTATTAGATGTGGCCAATTAAGAGAGTCAGTAACCACAGAGCTATACCTGCTGAAGATGACTTCTTGAATTATGTCAGCTCACTCACTGTTGTAACCCTTCTGAAGTGTTCCAACTGATGCCTCAGCTGAGTAAATATTTACAGAGAAAGATCCCAGTGGCTGTGGTGCCAATGGGCCTCTTATATCTGTGAGTCTAAGCCAGGGAAGCCTGTCTTACCACATGGCCCAACATCTAGTAATGTCATAGAGTGCACCATCCATTGCCTACCTCCCAGCAGGAGGGGTTGAGCTGTAAACAGGAAACATTTTTTGCATGCAGGCATATAACCCTGGACAGAGATCTCCTTAGCGCCAAAAGCTCAACCTTCCCTGGGTGTCTCAGGGATCAGGCCCTTTGCCATAGGACCAGAGAGGAGCACACACAGGGGAAAGTGCTGACTGTTAACCTGGAGTTCACATTTGAGCTCCTACTGCGTTCCCATTCCCAGATTGGAGGCCAGATATTTAGAGATCCAGGAATAGTGACGAATGCTCTTTACTATTAAGCAAGCAACCTGAAGGAGGCTGAGTTAGAACTGCAGGCTGTTCTCACGGGTGCCACTGAGACTGCACTAGTGCCCTGTGTGCCCGTAGCTCACCCCATGATGCTGCTCCGCAGCTCCAGAATTTCCTGCTTATTTACCTGGTGGGGGACAGGCAGAGAGGGGAAGAAGGTGTTGCCACTGCTTTTCTGAACTTAATAGTTCATGTTTGAGACTGACACAGGTGTGCATAGCCAGATATTCACTTTCCTGCCTATTTACTAAGAATTTTTAACTAAAAATACCCCCCAAAAAATAGAGGTTCTGAAACCTCCTTCCTGTTTCTAGTAGAGCCAGTGTGATGTTCAGGTCTCACGGCCAGAGTTTCTGATTCAGTGGGTCTGGGTGGTGGCCTGAGGATTTCCATTTCTCACATGCTCCCGGGGCTGCAGCTGCTGTTGGCCTGGAGACCACACTCTGAGAGCCTCCATCGTAGAGGCTCCGGGTACCAAGGCGTTCCTAACCCTGAGCTCATTCTGTGCAAACTCATTTCCAATCTCTCAACTGGGCTCCTAGTAATGGGTTTCATGGGAATGAGAGTGGGGTGGTGGCTAAGGAGAGTAAGGTATATAATAACAAAGTGACAGGATGTCAGGAAAACTATCATGACTCTTCCTAAAAGGAATATGCTTTCTGAGTACTGCAAACAAGTAAAGCAGAGAATGACTTTGGTTCTATTTCCCGAACACCCTTGCAAATAAACCAACTGCTGCAATATTTATGGCATATAAACACTCATTCAATTTCTCCTTTCTATGACAGAAATGGAAGTAATCATTTAGCAAGAATGAGAAGTATTAGGTTCCTAAAAACAGGAGAGTAGCTGAAGAGGCCATCTCCACTTATTTGAATATTTGCTAAAACTTAAGAATAAGACCAAAAAAAAAACCTTTCGTTTTCTATCTCCAAAATGTTTTTATCATTTAATTTAGTAACAGATAAAAAACTGAAAAGATGAACATGTTTGTATTGATTGCTCCTTTCTATATAAAAATCTAATTTAAATGTGAAAACATCTTGGTATATTTAAAGGTATTCAAGCAGAAATGCCTGAGTAGATGCCTATATTCGTCATCCTCAAGGTTCGAGCCAAGCGTTAACCACCTTCAGAGATGGTGTTTCCACCATGCCCAAGCCCCACAGCACACACTGACCAGTTACATTTTATTTCAGGGCGTTCAAGCCATTCACTGTGGAATGATTTCATTAAAGGAATTTAAAGATTAATGGTTTCCTTACAGGGACAAAAACAATTGCTGACGTAAAAATACAATGCAGTAGGTGTGTGCTGGTTGAGCCTACCCAGCAGAATGAATGTGAAAGGTAGAACTGGGGCCACCAACAGCTGATTGATACAAACCTTAAACGCCAATGTAAATAGGGAGAGTGTGTCCAGAGCCGTCAGGCAAACCTCAGTAGCGATGTTGGCTTCAAGTAATGACTGGTGCAGAACATCTGCGTCCGAGTGGCCATAGCCTGCATGAATTACAGCACAAGATTACCGCCCAGTGTTCAGAAGGCAAGGCGGGCGGGACGGGGTCACACAGTCAACTTTTGATTATTTACCAGGGGGCCCACTTTGGGACCTTGTCTCCCTGTTTGCCTTTTTTTGGTGGGGGAAGGAAGGGAGACAGTAGGAACAACGTTTCCATTCAATTATAACTTTTTTCCCATTCTGAAAGGGCAGTAACCACAGCAAACGTTGATTATTCACTTTCTGTGTGCCAGCCAGGATTCTATGAACTTTACACGCATTCTCTCATTTAATCCCTCAACAGCCCTATGAAGCATGAACATCGTTAAACTGTTGGTACAGAGAAGGAACGAAGGCACAGAGAGGCTAAACCACTTGTCTAAAGTCACACAGGTAGTAAACAGTGGAGGCAGGACTTGGACCAAGACAGGCGTCGACCGACTGTGCTATCTGGCAGGAGTGCTGGTGGAGGCTAAGATGTCCAAAGCTTCCCATGTAGACGGAGGTCGCAGCACAACACAGGTTAGGAAAAAGCCTGAGATCAGGCTGTTGCTCACCGAGTCCTGCTCTGCCACTCACCTGCTGTGTGGCCTTGGCAAGGTATTTGGCCTCTTTATAACCTCAGTTTCCTCATCTGTAGAATGGGTATAATACAGTGTCTACCTCAAAGGGTTGTGGTGAGGATTCAACTTTTTAATATTTGTGAAGCTCTTAGAACAGTATCTGGCACACAGCAAGTGCTACGAAGGGGTTAAGTCAGTAACATCAGGAGCTATGTTATCAGCAAGGCTCATGAGTGATAATCGAGAGTTGACTGCGCAGGGCATAGTACTCTACTCGCTTTAAGAAAAAGCATAAAAGCCAACATGTCTGAAAGGAATGTTCAGAAAAAGAAAAGGACTTGAAGAATCTTTTCATTTAAATTTAGCTTAATCACACATAATTTAAATGTAAATAGAAATCTTCTGTAAGTGGCAAAATCAATTTAGTACTGATATAAATGCAATTTGACATACAATTGGAGATATTAAATTATGAAATGGTATGCATTAGCAGAAATACACATAGGGATGCAAAGATGTTACGGTACTGATCTGGACTACAATGAAAGATGGCAACATAATAAAACACCATGTAATGTCTTTCTCTAAGGAGCAAAAACAAAGCAATGCTTACTACTGAAGTGATTTTCCTAGTACTCCAGAGAGGAGGACATTTTGCACATGGATCAGGAAAATGAAGTACAGAAAACCTAGGAAATTTTCTCGAGATCAGTAATGGGAAGAAACCAGAATCTACACTCCAAATTCCTTATCTAGGTCACTGTATCATAGTGCATATTATCAGGAGAAAATCAAGTAACTAGCATGACATCATTCTGACTTAAATGTCAGAATTATAGTGTTTTTTAAAAGGCTACAAAAGAGCTTTTTAAAGCTACAAAAGTGATTTTTAAAATATGATAAAAACGCTGTTGTGTGCTTTTATCCAATGCTGCTGTGCCTTCACAAAGGTGGGGCTGAGATCTGCTTCTGGGGCACATCACTCCCACTCCACAGCACAGCCAGCATCTGTCTGTATTTAGGGAGGATCTGCCATACATCTGGCACCATGCTAGTTCCATTTCATTTTCACTTTTTGGGTACAAAATCTCCCAGAGAAAAGAAAGGTGGATATGTTGAGGTACTAACATTACTTACACTGCCATGATGGTAAGCCAAGGCATGACTTTATTCAGAGAGGTTTGTTTGGTAAGATACAGAGACAATGAAAGGAAAACAAACAGGTCGATGATTACTGTTAAAGTGATCACATACTGTGGTAAGAGGGCACACACACAAAAATACAACACCTGTTATCAGACCAACCAAAATGATCACACAGGTCCAAGGGATCCTTTCCTGGCAGCTGCCATTGGCCTTGAATGAGTTTTCGTCTAGATTCAATTTTAACAAGGAACTGGCTTTGATTATTTTAATTTCTTTCTCTGCACAGAACTGTCCTTCTCTCTGTCTAGAGCACCTACAGGTGAAGTGCATCTAGACGATCATTATCAATGAGATGGCCTGAAGAATGCTCATAGAATTTAACTACTCCCGGCTGAAAGCCTGAAACAATTAAAAATTAGAATTTGGCCAGATGCTGTTTTAAAACATATCACCAATGGACTATGCTAATTGAGTTACTATATAATTCTGTATACACATATGGAAACATGGTACTGGGAAATGTTATTACACCATCTATCTACTCTCCTATAGAGTCAGATTCATACAGAAATTGTTATGCTTGCCTGAGTCATACAGGCATCTAAAAGAAATGGTCCTTTTAGCCACATTTTGTTATGCTTTGCTTTTGCTTCAACTGTTTCATCTAAAAAATCAGCAGGATTCCTGAGCTAGTGCTATTTTTTTTTTAATCCCTAAAAATAACTGGCAGCATAGAGAGGCTGTCCCAGTCACAGAGACTGGAGACCATATGTCTCAAGGCCTGGAACAGAGCTGTGCAGGCGGAAGACTAATTCAGTCATCATGGTATAGACCAACGAAGCTGAGCTAGGAAATCCAAGAAGAGGCAGAGATATTTCCTAAATTACAGGTTGGCAATGTTTTGAAAGCTGATTAAGCAGCTTTTGACCCGGGCAAGTAAGGCCTGCGGTGTGAACCACACGATTTCCACTAGGGGGTCATGGTGCCTGGGGGTCTGCACTGATTCCCTCCATCTGGCACTTTGGGGACAGAGCCTCAGGTCTTCTGCAGGGATGTGCCATCTCTGGCACACACGCCCTGGGATGCTTTACAGTCCTTCGGATTCACTGCTCAAACGGATACAATTTTCATTCTATTGTCATTCTGACAACACTTATTCTAAAGTCCCCAAATCTTTTAAATACTCAGGGGCCACAGATTAAATGTGTCTACACCAAACCTAATCCTGTTCTACAAACTCACGTTACCTGCATAGTTCAACTGAATAATGGTGTCACATCGGTGAACTTCCTCCCTCCTCACCACCATGACATCAGAGGTAATGTGGTGGGTAGGACAGAAGCCTGAGGCCACACACCTTTTCTGAATGCCAGAGGACATTTGGGGTAGAAGAGTAGGTTAGAGACATATTCCTACAGGGGGCACTTCCATGTTGACAGCTGCCTTCACTCTTTATGCAACCAAAATTCTTGTTTTTATTTTGACTTTTACCCTCTCTAGTCCATGTGAATCCAGAAACATAGTTAAGTTTTAAGAGAAAATATAAATGCCAAATGACAAGGAATTTCCTTGCTGAAAGAACTCTCCAAATGTAGAAGGCGTAGTCTAGATATATACTAACTCATGGCATATGGTTTTACTGAGTGCAAACATTTTTGCAAAATATTAAACTAATCAACATCTACACAATCTATTATTCACTTCCATCCCATTTTTGTTGTTAAAAAGTTTTCCTCACAGACTGGCAAAGAGTAGAGAATAGAATAGTGACATCCCAAGGCAAAATATATGTCATTTGATATCTGCTCTTTGATCCACAGATGAAGGAAACAAATATGCTCAGGATGCCTGTGGAGACATGGCTTTAATCCGAGAGTTTGTACTCAGGATGCCTGTGGAGACACGGCTCCAATCCGAGAGTTTATACTTCAGGAGGCAGGTGTCATACCATCAGCTTTCCCTTCCTGTGGCCTTTTTAAACCTAATGTTGAGCTGCATCTGAAAATGGGACCTCATATGAAATAAAGGGCCCAAGTGAAAATACTTGGTTTAAACATACCACACATCTTAAAGTCCTCTGCAAGGATATTCCCAATGACTGACTTTAAACGTACACTGTAGCAGACCTTCTCAACTCTGAGACCCCATCAATTGCAAGAAACACCAATCAATGACAGACTACCATATCCAATAACGTAAGATATACCCGACTTTGGAAATACTAAAAAATGCACAAGAATCAAGGAAACACATATCAAAATCAAGAAAATAAGTGTTTTGTTTACAAACAAACTTTTTTTTCTAATTGAAGTCTCTCTGTCACCCAGGCTGGAGTGCAGTGGCATAATCTTGGCTCACTGCAACCTTTACCTCCTAGGTTCAAGCAATTCTCCTGCCTCAGCCTCCCGATTAGCTGGGATTACAGGTGTGTGCCATCATGCCCAGATAATTTTTATATTACTATTAGTTTTTTTGTTTTTAGTAGAGACGGGGTTTCACCATGTCGGCCAGGCTGGTTTAGAACTCCTAACTTTAAGTGACCTGCCTGCCTGGGCCTCCCAAAATGCTGGAATTATAGGTGTGATCCACTGTGCCTGGCCACAAATATTTATTTACTATTTTGAATATACGTTTAAAGCATCCAAGCATATTTTACCTGATTTTAAAGATTATTCATGCTTTAAAACTTTTAAAAAATATTTTAACTCAGAGATGTCTACATTCTTTGTATTTTTCATATTAATTCACTATTATATACAGTAACGGAATTTAACAATTGTCCATATTCATTTTCTTGCTGGTGCTTCACAGACATCAAAGACACTTCAGAGTTAAATGCAGCCTGGCAGCCACACCATCAACTCCTCACGGCATGCTTAGAGTGACCTGGACAGTACCCCAGCTGGGCCTCCTGCAGTCTGTTTTCACACCTCCAGCTGCAAGTGTCCACATGAGCTTCACAGGCAGCTCAGCACGTGCCACTCAAGGGCAGTTCCGTTAGAAAATGCTTTCTGATTCTGATCTGAAATCGTATCTGCAACTTGACCCAGTCATCTTTAACTGCCTGTTAGATCGAATCACATGAAATCCAGATCGAATTACATGCTGCTACCTCTCGACTGGCGTTCCGCACATCACACCAGTGGGAAATACGAATTATGCAAATAAACTTGATGTATTCCAAGAACAACACATAACATCAAAGTAAACATAGTGTTATTTTGTATACATTTTGCAAATGTACCACTTATTTGCAAACACGTGTCACTTAGTTTTCACCTCATAATGTGGTTTATAAACATGTACATGTATACACACACATATACATGTTCACGTATGTAAACACTCCCTTCTCTGTGGTTTTATGCTATCACTGTGGTTTTGTGCTATGACTCTTAATTTTTCATTTGACACAAATCTCTTCCACTGATACACAATGAGCACAAATTACACTAAATATGTGAATGCCTAAGTGTTCTAAAGTTTATTTTCCATACACCTGAGAGATGACCCAAACAACAAGCCTGTCATTTAAGGGCTTTTCAAATAGCTAAGATGACTTGGCCATCATGGGACTGGGCATGGGGATTTGCTATTTTATTTCCTATCAAAATCAAAGAGTGAAGACAAGTTCTTGCCCAAGTTCCAAGTGCAGTGTGTGTGGTGCCTTCTTCCACATCCTGTTACCACTGGTGATGGGGACAGACCTACAAAGGATTGTTTCCTGTGGGCTTCTGCTGCTCCCTGCTGGTCAAGCTGAGTTCTGACAAAGCCCTTCCTACTCTACAGAAAGGGGACATGAATAATGCAGATGTACAGGGACTCTTCCTATTTTTATTCTCTTCTGAAATAAATTCATTTTGGACTCCTGGGGATCCCTGGCAACATTCTCACATATTGGATCTATGTCATATTGGTTGGCCCAACAGAAGGTATTGTATTTGTTTTAAACAGGATTTTTTAAAAAAGACATACATGGCCATAAATTTTCCAAAAAATACCCAGGTACAGATGTAAACAAACATGTACATATATATATATACACACACACATATACGTGTTCATGTATATACAATATGTACTCCCTTCTCTGTGGTTTTTGTCTGAGTTGACCATTTGGAGCTCAAAGAGCTAGCAGAAGGAAAAGATGAAGCCACTCAAACTCGTAATGAGAACTGGAGATGTAAAACAAGGCTGAGTTCTAGGAGATGCAACAACTTAGGAGATAACAGAACCAACGTGGAATAAGCAGGAATTGTAGGAATGCTGGCGAGGGCTGGAAGAGTCTGCTACATGCTGTTTACTGGCAAAGCAGGAGAAATGTGACTGAGGACAGTGTACCACTGAAAACTGACAAAAGCGGAGGGAGGCAGGAGGACAGGGCTCTGTGGGTAGCAGGAAGGCAGAATGGGAATAAACTATGTTAACAAGATGGCTTTTGGCGGCAGCAGCAGCACCAGGCCAGCTGTCTCTCTCCTCTAATTCGAGTCACCACCACAAAACCCATTTGCAGTGGGAAGAGCTGCCGCACATCCAAGTGGATAAGGTTATTTATTCACATGTGGACTATTCATTTAATTTTTGCTTGTTTTCTGTGTTTCCTAAATGAGTATCTTTGGAGGTGGAGTCCTGGTGTACTTAGAATTTGTTTTAAAGTCCTTCAAGGTTTAAGCGTTTATTTTAACTGATAGTGAGTTAGCCTCTGTGTTACAGAAAGTATGTGAGCAAAGGAGGTCCAGCAGGTCCTGTTTATCAGTAGGATTGAATTTCTGCTGCTAAATGGGAAAGGAAAACTAAAACTAAAAATTAAAAAAAACTTTTTTTTTCTTTTTTCTTTTTGGAAATGGAGTTTTAGCTCTTGTTGCCCAGGCTGGAGTGCAATGGCACAATCTCAGCTCACCGCAACCTCAGCCTTCTGGGTTCAAGCGATTTTCCTGCCTCAGCCTCCCGAGTAGCTGAAACTACAGGCATGCACCACCACGCCCAGCTGATTTTCTATTTTTAGTAGAGAGACAGTTTCTCCATGTTGGTCAGGCTGGTCTCGAACTCCCGACCTCAGGTAATCCGCCTGCCTCAGCCTCCCAAAGTGCTGGGATTACAGGCATAAGCCACCATGCCCAGCCGGTTTTGTTTGTTTTAACCCCTCTTCTGCAGAGCTAGTCAAAGCCCCAACAGAAAAGATGTTAAAAAAATCAAATCCTGTAGCCTTAAAGGTGTCACTAAATTTACATTCTATAGCTAAGTGTAGAACTCAGAACTAGCATTTCATGGCTACCAACTCAGCATGTGGCAGACTGACATTATCTAAATTAAGCCTGGGATTAATTTAGACTATCCTCGTAACAGTTCTTATTTTTCTATTTTTTGAGACAGGGTCTTGCTCTGTCACCTAGGCTGGAGTGTAGTGGCATAGTATTGGCTCACTGCAACCTCAGTCTCCCAGGTTCAAGTGATTCTCACGTCTCAGCCTCCCCAATAGCTGGGATTACATGTATGCCCAATACACCCAACTAATTTTTGTATTTTTAGTAGAGATGGGGTTTCACCATGTTGGTCAGACTGGTCTCGAACTCCTGGTCTCAAGTGATCCACCTGCCTTGGCCTCCCAAAGTGTTGGGATTATAAGCATGAGCCATGGTGCCCAGCCAATCTTCATAACATTTAACCTTGATGGGGTAGAGGTGTGGGAAGCTGCTTTGTTTTGATTCCTCAGGTGTCTTACTTGGAACTATTATTAATACAATGCATTGGGAACGTTGCCTTTACTCTTGGCCTGCATTTAAAAAAGAGATGTGAAAATCACAGTGAATGGAATTTATTATTAGACATGATGGGAGGATATGAATAACCATGTATTAAAGACAGCCCTTGGAATGAGAACAAATAATTGTTGAGATAAAACAATCACTAGCTGTGTCATGCTTGGAGAAGAGAGAGAACAATTTGGAGAACACATGCTAGCAGAAATGGGATTTATTATAAATGATCTCATTAAATTTTCCTGTGCTGCATGGTTGATATCTTTCAGGTGTTCTGCTCTGAGAAACCCTTAAGAAAACACTTAAATTACTAGAAACAGCACACAATGCCTTGTCTCCTCTACTAATTGATAAAAGGAAATTAAAATTATGCTCCCCTGTGTTGGCAGACTCTATTGTGAAGTTAGAAAGGCCCAAAGTTAGGAAGGCAAGATGAACAAAAAGGTCTTGGCTTGCAAGTGAAGCGGCCTCGTAAGCAGACTTCAACCTGATTAAATCTTACCATTGTCTACAGAAATTCCAAGCACACTTGATATCTTTCTCACACTGAAAACACAGAAAAAGTCACTTTGTTATTGGACGCTTTTCCACACTCTCACAAATTGATTCATGGGCTTTATGTTTTCACAGCAGTGTAAGGATTAACATTCATTCAGAGTTGGAATGTCAGAATGTGGACGCTTGATCAATTACATGCACAGGATCAGGAAGGGTGAAAGAAATCCATCCCAAATGTTCTCGGGAGTTGCAGGGGAAAACCAACTTTAAGTTGGTTCTAGGTGATGAATCCAAACATTATGTTTAGAATACAGGAGAATGGCTGGCTATGGACCTGGCCAAGTTTTGTTTTGGGGATAGGGAAAGGGTGAGGCACTTTAGTGCTGTAGTTGAGCGTGTTCCACATTGTGTCACTCCCAAATGCTGAGGACGCTCCTCCAAGGAAGGGAACTGTGCCATGAGCTCTTCATCCTACTTGCTTTGAGCTAGAAGAAAAATCAAGTTGATGATATGGTAGGTGTGGCCTGGGGCTCTCCCCTCTGAGATGGCACATAGATGGCTGGCTGTTACGATGGCGTGTCATGGGACTTACTGTGGTTAAAAGTGAGAGAGTTATCCAGGCTGCCCAGCTGCTGCAATCTGGCATGCATCATTCCTGTTCTGTTACGGGAAACAGGCAATGTCTGAGATTTTCGATCATGAACTATGGGTCCCAACCCCTCCTGGTTCCTGCAACATGAGTGAAATGGGATAGAAGCAAAAGTTAGACGTGTTACACCGCAGCGAGACGGGGAGCGTTAGTGAAGCCAGGACATGGCACGAGGGAGATGGCCATGCACTGACCGAGCACGGCGGAGCAGCCAGAGACACAGACAGATGGCAGCTCCTACAAACTTCACGGCAAAGCACCTGATGACCCAGAAGCAAAAATCAGGCCAAAGCAGGGAGCTTTTTATTTTTAGAAAGTACTTTAGAGATGCTACTTTGAAAAAAGTGAGCATCACTCCAATGCAGTGCTAATGGTTAGTGTTCTGACAACTGACAAAACGTCACTAATCTTTTTGGATTATAGATGTTCTGAAAGAGCTAAAGACATGTATTTTTTTAATTAAAAAATGCATTGGAAGACACAGAGAACAAACATGCAATGGAGGGGATTATATGAGTTTTAACACCTTTATTCTTACCCAAGCAGGAAGGAGAAGAGCCACACACTTTGTTAAACTTGTCAGCAGTCAAGTGGAGAAAACAGAAGAGTGATTTGGGTTAGCAATCAAACAGCTAACTTCCTGCTGTGTACCATCACCAGAGCAGATGAAAATGAGACCAGGGCTGCAATGACACCTGTCCCCTGTCCCAGAGCCAACCGTCCCTCTCACTGTGTTATTGTGTGTAGAAGAACAGGGACATGCATGGACTACCATCGACCGCATGCTGCTGGGTGACTTCGAAGTGACAATGAGAAGGCACAGGGTTCATCGAATTGGACCACCATGGATGGCAAACATGTACAAGGTTCACAGTCTAGTTCACGATCTGATTCACATGCAGCAGAGACCCATGGCAATTTTTGTATAGAGCAGAGCATATCTTTCCACAGTGCATGGAGCAAAGTCACACCATCTCCACTCCCTTTTCCCTTGGCCCATCTGTTTTTAAGGCAGTCTACACTTTTATATGCAAATATATACATGGTGCTTATGAAATAGGAAGATTTTCTTTTAAGTAGTTAAATTTATATCCACTGGAAAAAAATAAGTTAACCATTTTACAAAACCCGATTCTAAAACATTTTGTTGGGACAGAAATCTTCAGCTTCCCACATTCACCGTTTTAAGCTGTGAGGCATTTTATTCTACTTGGCACAGTATTCTCCAAATGCCATCTTGTGATGTAGGTGTCACTGCAAAAATGAAGCCAGCCTAGCACAGTGGCTTTCTGTTACAGAATTTACTGTTTGCCCATCTTCATGGGACAAAGTCAAGAAGAATATAAGTCAAGGTAGGAGATGTTGTTGGTATATGGACACCTTGTATATACTTGCATTTAGTACTCCAAAATGCAAATATAAAATTACTGTTGTGATCAAAATAAGACAGTTAAGATTAGAGAACTTTAAGGACTACCACATTTCAATGAAAAATAGAAAATATTAATAGGAGGAAAGCAGAAAAATTCTAAATTTGTTTCTTTTAAAAAGAAAACATACACCTTTACTTCTTAACATAAAATGTAATTCTGAAAATTTCTCAAATATCCCCAGAAAAGAACAATGTTAACATAAAAAGAAAATCTTCACATTGAAAGAGAAAGTTTATTAAAATTCTCTGGCCTATTTCATTGCTGTAAGACAAAATTATCAATATATAGAGAAACCTCTAAATTTTTAAGGTTTTCTTAAAACATGTTTACTTATAATAAAGCTGTTAAAAACAACAGTAAAAAAATATATAATACTTAGACCAAGACCCCACTAATACACTAACAAAGAATGGCTCACAACACAGAAAAAAACAGACAGACATTCCAAATGGCAATGAGGCAGGAGGAAGACCTTGGTAAGGACAAGAGGTGCTATGAAGAAATGCCAAAGAAGGTGCGTCCAGCCACACAGCCACAAAGAGTTTCTGGGTGGCTGGTTCTGAGGGCAAAGTAGTGTGACGCTTCTCACCAGGGAGTCCTGGCCAAGAACGCAGAGCGCTTATCAACCAGTCAAGAGTAAGAAGAGGAAAGGCTCCATTGCAGAGAAGGTTTGTGGAAGTCCACACAAATTTGAGATGGACTGAAAACATGCTTTCATTAAGAAAGAAGAGTGCCTAGGTGAGATTTTTAGTATCTTTGTAGTTGAGAGCAGGAACCATCAATGTGACCTTGGAAAGTCAAACACAGGAAGAGAAATCATTAAGGAACATAGGGAGAAGAACTGGGGAGAAGAAGCTGGGAAGGAGACAGCACAGTGCATGAGGAAGAGTTTGGACAAGAGGATGGAAGGGTAGCCACAGTCCGCTAAAGGAACACTTTCCAAGAGACACGCGCGAGGTGAAATGAGACAGGAAGCCTGGAGGAACGCCGACCAAAGACGCTGCCGGGCTCCGGGGTGGTAATCCAAGCACTTGCCATCGGTCCTCACGGCCACTTCCGTGAATCCCAACCGCCAGTTGCCACTGATGACCATTCCCACACAGTCAGAGCCAGGTAACACAGAAAACAACACATTTCAAATGAAAACGCCCCACAGTACCTGGCTATGTACCGCTTCCCCATGTACTGGAACTGGTGCAAGCAGACTCTGCAGGCAAGATGAAAAATTATTAGGGAAATGTGAAGAGTAAATTATTTTTAGGATGTTATTCATCCATTAACAATAACAAATTCAACAAACACTATGTCTGGCACCAAAGTACATAGTGTGCCAGACATATGTACTTCATTCATTCAGAATGGGTTTCGGGAGTCCTCTGAAAAGTCCCTTCACACCCAGGGAAATGTATTAACCTGTGAGGGAAGCCCCATTTTGTGTAGCTATCAGTGCTGTGGTGGCTGGTTAAAGCATCACAGCTCAGAGGCCCATGACTGACAGGACTGTCCATCGACTCAGGAGTAGGGATTCACTCCACCGCCGCGTGCCTGAGAAAGCGTGCTGATGACCACACACTGTCCCAAGTTACTTATTCATCCTCATTCACATCTATACAAGGAGCTCTCCATTTTGGCTCAAGTATATGGACTAGACTCCATACACACCAAGATATATTTTAAAAAATATCTGTAACAACATTGATGCTTTTTAAAAATCATGTATTTAATGTGGTAGTTAAAACAATGCCTGGTGAGCTCCTCTGGTGTTGAATCTCATTTCACCACATGATAACTCCCGCCTTTAACTCAGCAGAGGTCAGGAGACTATGATCCAAGACTACGAGCCAAGTGTCCTCTGAGGGTCAGGCCCATGGTCTCTCACCTGTAGTTCCAACATACATGAAGCTCTGAAAACCAGCTTCCTCCAGAGTTCATGCAAATGCATTTGGGACCAAAGTATGACCCAAAATAATAGGCATAAAGCTACTTATAGTTATAATTTATCCAATTATTATGAACAATAACAGTGCTGCAGAAATATTTTTTAACTGTAGAGAGATGCTGCTGGGATGTTATGGGATACAGTCTATGTGTAAATTTTTCAGAAATCCAAAAAGTTCTGAACTTGGAAAATCATCTGGCTCCAGGAGTTTTAGATAAGGGATTGTAGACTTATGTTTCTAAAAGTAAAGAGCTTAAAGGAAATCAGAAACTTACATTGATGAGCCAAAATAAGATAATAAAGATGCTACATAAGATTTCACTTTTATTTCTTATATTTTAAAATTATAGCAATTTTCTGACCCAGTTTCTTCATCAGCTTAAGTTAGGCTCACCTTGGAAAAGCAGTATCTACCCAGTTCAGCTAATAAATTTTGTGTTATTTTATTAAGATGGCTTATACACATAAGCAGTTATACACATACACACACCCCTCATGTAAAACAAGCACATCTCTGTAATACTTTAAGGGTGACCACTGATCACTGGGTCATAAGTTTTGAAAACATGTTTTAGGGCTAGGTCCATGAGAAAGGGCTTAAGGAGTAAGTGAGGATGTGACATACACTACTTTCCTGGTTCAACTACATAGTATTCTTCACACCTCTTAATGATCCAGAAAAAATCAAGAGGCAATGAGCAAAGAGAAAGCTACTTACTCAGATATTGTAAAAAAATCCATAAGTTCAGATGTTGAAGCCTTGTTCCAATACGTAAACAAAGCATCTAGAAAATAAACATTTACTTAGAATCACAATACATATCATATATATTATGGAGAATCAGCTATTGTGAAGATGGGAAGAGACCTTGGAGGACAGGCCTCCAAGCCCTTCACCCGCCCTCTTTTACAGCTGACCACTCTAAACTGGATATCACACACCTGAGGCCTATTCAACGTCAAGATGCTGCATTTGAACATCTGAACTTTAATTCCATCATACCTCATCTAGTGCTGTGTTCTAGCACAATGTTCATTTAACTTAATGTGGCATGCTCTTAAATAGACTAGAAAATTCAGAGAATACATGTGGACATATAACCTAAAGCTGGGCTCTCCTGTCTTCTACTACAGGATCTCTTCCCAAAAGGGAACTTACTGAAAATCTTTGCATATTACACACATAATTGTGCTCTTTGAGTTTTAACTGAAAAATACAGCTTGGATCTATCTCAAGTTTTTCCAAGCTGAATAATACTCCTTTGGGTGTTCAGACCGTAAGTAAGTAAGTCTCCTACTGATAGCTATTTGCTGTTCTCCCCACCTAACTTTTTGCTATTATAATTATGTTTCAGTGAACATCCTTTTATGTGGGTCTTTGCATGCATGTCTAACTATACCTACAGGATAAGTTCTCTGAAGCGAAATAGCTGTACCAATGGTGTGAGCATTTAAACTCCTGTACATACCGTTAACAGTTGAGTAGTACTGTCATTTGAGTGCTAACGTTTGATAGCTAACGTTTTTTGCATCCTTATATTTTACACTGAGGTTGAGAAATAGGTAGAGATTTCTCTTAGGAAAAGGCCAGAGTCTCTGTGGTCTGAGATGAGCAGATAGAGTCACTGTGGGGATGCTGATGGCTCCTGAAGATGCATGGCCACAGGCTTTCACTCAACACTTGTCAAGAACAATGACAGGCAGGAATGACATGAGATATAGACTGAGAATCTGTTATATGCCAGGCACTGTACTAGGTACTCTCACAATTTCACATAGATTGTGCCATCTAATCCCCACCATATCTGGGGCAGAAGAAAGTCCTCATTTACAGATGAGCTAACAGAGACTCAGAGAAGTTAAGCAATTCTCCCATTTACCAGTCTGAAGAATCATGGTTGAGTGGGAATTTAAATTGCATGCATCTGATTCTAAAGGCCACTTGGCCTATTAGACCCGTAACAAGGGTGGGCCAGGGGCTTCCATCTTTAGGGGTTTTGAGTTTAGATTCCAGAGGAACAGACTCTGGCTACTTGAGGCTGGCCAGCAGGATAGGGTGAGCCCCCAGGGAGCTCTGTGTGTGCTGGAGAGCCTGGTAGGATCACCCTGCAGGCCTCTGTGGTCACCCTCAGCACACATCAGACAGAGGGGCCAGCAGCATGGGCACTGATGCTGCCATTCCTTGCTCTGGGCCCTGGCTACTGGTTGTGGAGAGTGGGAAAACAAAGATAAGCTCCATGGAGAGGGAAATAGCACAAGAAGGACCTCGAGGAAGGGCCCAGCATGTAGAAGGTGTTCATTAAATATGGAATAAATGAAATAGTAGCTACAGAGTTACACAACTTATTTTGGTTGTCTATGTGGTAACTATCTCTGGAGGCAATTTCTCTCCCTAACCCATATGACACACAAAAGCCAATTGTAGCTAGATTTTGAGAGTTAAATGTGAAAATATAAATAACACTGCTTTCAAGGAATATATGAGAATATCTTCATGACCCTGGGGGTTTGAGAATATTTCTTTTTTTTTTAATTTAATTTTTTTTATTGCATTTTAGGTTTTGGGGTACATGTGAAGAACATGCAAGATAGTTGCATAGGTACACACGTGGCAGTGTGATTTGCTGCCTTCTTCCCCTTCACCTATATATGGAGAAGATTTCTTAAACGGGCTGCACATACAACAAATTCTAATTATAAAGGGAAAACAATAACTTGAAGAAAATTGAGAAGAAATATATTCTAAAATCGTTTTGAAGAAGTGGTTTGATTTTAAAAATATGTGTTTGACTTTAAAGAATAACTTTCACTTGAATTCAAATGTTCTTGTATATTTGTCTTTAAAAAGCAGTTATGTTCTTATTTTAGATCATATTCAGTATTTGAAATTTAAACTATTTTAAAGAGAACTTTAAACAAAAGAAAAACAGGATTCTAGTGCAGGCCAGCACTCATTATCACCATGAAGCAAAGTTTAGAACTTTGGACTTAAATGGGAAGAATTTCAACTTTATGAATCCAAATATCAGACCAAGTGCCCTGTGCTAGTGGATTTGGTCATCATTCCGGGAATGTCTTGTTCATCTGTTCTTTTTTTAAAAACAGCATTTTAAAGTAACAAATCAACAGAAGAATGAATTACCCAGTCTTTATTTTAAGGGCAAGCAGGTTTTTTTCTACCATCTGAGCTAAAAAGTCAGACTGTGTGTTGGCTTGGGTCGGGGGGAAGAAAAAGGCTACTAATGCTGCTGAAATGGAAGCTTGATATAAAAGAAATTCTACTTTCAGGCAGAAATACCTTCCACTGGATGTTTAGCACACACCTCCTGCCCCCAGATACGAGCAGCACAAGAGGCCTTCAGGTTCTCAACAAATGGCACTTTGTTTTCAAGAGAGTTAGTCTTAATTCAATCACCTTAATGAAGTTCACAGCATACCTTTTAATTCGTTGTAGAAAAAATAGGATTTTTGCCAAGGATAAGAACTGTGACATTGTATAATGGGATTGTTTATATTACACAGCCAGATACACAGATGAGCTAACAGAGTTGAAACTGTCCTGTCATACACATTTGCAAGCCTTGTGTGGTCCAGATAGAGCATTCATAGTTCTGCTCATTCTTATTTTAAAATATGGTTGTCAAACCCTTAAACAGAAACATAATCTATGATGATACCACCATTTCCATTAGAAAACTAAAATAACATCTCTCCCTTCCAGTTTGAGCCAGGAATATCATACACACTCTAAATGGAAGGAATGCTTAGGTCTCCCTACAGCATATGTTCTAATTCCAGAGACTGACAAACACACTTATGCAAGTTGCCAGTAAGTTTGTTTGGACAAATAAAAAAAAAATTTTTTTTCATGATGGAGTCTTGCTCTTGTTGCCCAGTCTGGAGTACAATGGCATAATCTCGGCTTACTGCAACCTCCACCTCCCTGGTTCAAGCAATTCTTCCTCAGTCTCCTGAGTAGCTGGGACTATAGGCGTGTGCCACCATGCCTAGCTAATTTTTGTATTTTTAGTAGAGACGGGGTTTCACTGGATTGGCCAGGCTGGTTTCAAACTTCTGACCTAGGTGATCTGCCCTCTTCAGCCTGAGATTACAGACGTGAGCCACTGCGCCCAGCCTACAATTTTTTTTTAAGTCAAAACCTATTTTATATATGTGCTTCTATCTCCTTTAGTTAAGATGGTAGGTTCCAGTTTAATATAAATTTCAGAAATAGGCCCATCCACATTTTAGAACTTATTTTCTAGAATAAAAATAATTAAGGACATGATTTTCCCACAATAAGGCTCTTCTATTAAATTTAGTCAATGAATATACCTTTCAAATAAGGAAGAAAATCCTTTGAAATTTTTGTATCATTTCAACTTATTACAAGTTAAAAACAAACTAACCAAATACTGAAACAAGCAAAACAGAAATCTCATATTTTAACCTACCATCAGACATGCTCTTTAAGATGTACAGGAAACACATCAGTAGGCTCTTAATCTCAGACTGGTCAAGTTTGTCACAGCGAACCATGGAATTTCCCAATGTGCTATTTTGTTGGTGCTAAAAAGAAAATATAGGTGATTTTTCTACTTAATTATGGGAGGAAAATGTGTTTCCCTTTTCTCCCTTGGAAGAGAAAGATTCTTAGAACTGAGTCAGATCATACACATTGGAAAGTGCAAGTAACTTGTTGACAATTAAACCACAAGCACCCTTCACGCAAATATAACACACTCAAACGCCATCCACAGAAGCCCTCGCCTGTCTCCTCAGCACACTCTCCTAAGGGACAAGCAGAAGGCACAGACCTGTCACAGCTTTAGCTATGCCAAGTAAAACCTTCTGAGATGCCAGCATATTGAAACCTCATGCAAGAAAGTATGTGTGCTAGGATCAAGAACAGGAACCGTGACTCAGAAGACACCGCACAACCAGCCACCTCCTGAGGACAACGGCGATGGCTGAAACAGCAAGTGCCTGTGGTGCTGCTGTGCCCAAAGCCTGGAGCCCAGGCACCATCCAGGGTGCATCACGGGGTGTGCTGTGGGCACTGCTCAGGGAACACAACAGGCAGGTGCCTTATGGGGACAAACAGGGACACGTCAGCACAGCATCGCCAAAGGCCCTAAACTGATGAGGTCACTCTCTCATCAGCTTAGCTCAACACTACAAACGTCAGAAATCTTGGGGCAAACGAGAGGACAATTTTGCCACTAGGCAGCAGTTTCTCCTGGAAAAAAAGCAGAACAAGATTCTCATCATGTGATTGCAAATGCAGGAGATTTAAAAACTCTCCCAGTTGAATTTCCATTGAAATAATTTTTTTTTTTTTTGCCAAATATCAAAGCAAAAAGAACAGTGAAAAAAAAGATGTTTTATTCAAGGTGCTGGTGGCCAATTGAAAAAAATTATGCATGTATATATATATAAAATGAACAGGCTTAATGGATAAAATATGCGAATCTTTTTATTTACAGAAAAAACATAGGGGCTTCTAGTGGCGAAACTGGTATGGATGCCTCCTCTCGCCTGCCCACTTGATTAGAGCCACTGGAGAACTCAGTACTTCCGGCAGCGGGATGCAGAGTGCAGCGTGCATTGTCTCCTCTGGCAAAGGTGGAACCGTTAGAAGGGAAAAATCCACAGTGACCCGGTTTTTCCTGGCTGACTGGCAGCTCTCCTCCTCCTCTCCAGCACTGCGTATGACACAAGCAGAGTGCCTTCGGAGCAGCTTCTCCCTCTACACATGAAGGCACGTTGGGGTCAAGGGCTAAGTACAGTATGTCATGACACACCCGCACCGAGCTGCTCACACCTCAGCAGAACTGCAGGTAACGATAACCATGTCAACGCCAGCCACGGATGCATGACAAGAGTGCAACCTGCTGCTGAGGAAGGACATGTGCTGGGGACAAATCCCTAAATGGCTCAGCTGTTTATTGGAATGGGCGCTTGCCTGTAACCTGAAGTAACTTAGGAAATCTGTGCCTACAGTCCTACAAATCTACCATGGCACCAGGTTTAAACCAAAGCTTCATCCGTTCCTACAAAGCTCCAAATGGTCTGAGTGTTTAGTAGCTTTAAGAAAAAAGGCTAAGTTTGAGGAGGAAGTGTTGTGTTTAGGGTAGGTGCTGTGTGAATAGAGTGATTTCTTATCCCTGAATCACCAACATGATCAATTAATCTCTGGAGCTGGCTTCAGACCTGACATCCTTGTGGGTGGACAGCTGTGTTGGTGACAGTGTCTCTGGTAGAAAGACTACAGGGAATTGAAAGGGGCAGCATTTTGAGTCACTCCCTGTCTAGCCCACCAGAGCCATTCATTCAAGATGCTCCACTGCAAACCCTGTCTAGGCTATGAGGTCCTGGAGACAGGAATCAGACCATTTCAAGGAATAGGCCCCAGACTTAGATAAAGCTCTCAGGTCAGCTGGGTGGTTTAGGAGAAAAAAAAACAGAAGGTAACAATTAAAAGGTACTAGAACATGGAGTACGTTTACTTTGGGCTAAATTCATTGATCATAAGAAACACTTGTGTTGGGTGAAAAGCAATTACCTTATCCAGGGAATTGCTCTTCTCACTATTCCTCTCTGGAAGGCTATTACCCGAATCTGTGCTTATGAGAGATCCTCTCGAATCAGCATTTCTCACGCTGTTGATGTTTGGAGTTGAGGTTGTATATGGAGAAGCTAAACGGAAATCAAGCCAAGAATAAAGTTTTATTAAGATGGAACAACATAAAGATGAGTATTGGACTTTAAGAGAAATTGCTTTTATTGCACTTATTTTTTCTGTTAAAAAGCTGGTTCAAGAGTTGCATTCCATTACTTCACCTTTAAAGAACCAGATCACAAACAATGAGATAAAAAGAAACTAGTCTGAAACATTCAGATGTAAATATCAATTCACTTATTAGAAACCACCTTTGATTGCTAAGACTAAGAGAACACACCTGTTTCAAAATGTGATGGAAGAAAGACTTAAAAAAAATTAAAAGATAAATCCACCTAACTATCAAATCACAAAATTACACCATACAACAACTTGTAGTATTCAAACTGATAATTAAGCCTGAGGTGCCTACCAAGCTCTGAGGGATGTCATGGGGCATTTCAAATGCTCAAGAACACAGTGATAGTGACCTTGGCCAGAAGCTGCTGTTTCAGCAGCAGATTGGGCTATGCTCCTTTTGAAGATAAGTTTGTGGAGCTGCTGTGATAAAAGGCAAGTGATCAGTGTGGGACAGGAAATGCGAATGGTGCTGGCCAATCTGACCCAAAGGTTGAGAAGCTGTGCCCAGCGAGTGCACACCACCCATTCATGGTTAGTTGTGGCTATTAAAAATGAAACTAAAATTTTTTTCTTTAAACTGATGTGTATGATTTCTTTTAAGTGCCTACTAAATTGTCAGAATATAAGTACTTATTAAGTTATTTGATCCTAAGTACCCAATAAACAGAACTGCTGGGTGTGTCTTTTGGCCTAGGGATGCCATGAAAAGAGAGTGACACTAAGGGTGCTGTGAACGAGGACTGTTTGGGAATCTCCGCTGTACACAACTCTGAGAAGAAAGGAAATCGAACCTGGAAATAAAAATTTGTGACGTCCATGAAAAAAACAGCATTTGAAGGCAGAAGTTACTCCCAATCTTGGTACTATGTAATTTTTTAAGGTAATAGATTGACTTCCTGCTTAAGTAAGATTTAAATAAATCACATAGCTTAAAATGACTTTTTGGACTTGTACATTCTGTGCTGAACCAAAAGGTGTGCCTCCAGTGGAAAGGCCCGGCTGGCTCTGCAGATGGCGTCAGATTTGGACTCTGGGTCTGGCAGCTGTGAGCACACATCCTCCCAGACCCAAGCTGAAGATGCCATTACTTGGCACTTCACAACAGGCTGGTCGTTTTCAGATCTCAGTAGGCACATGAGCGGCCATGGACTGGGAAACTTCTAAGTTAAAAAATAAACAAACATCTAAATAAATATAGCCAGCCCCTAGGGTGCACCAAAAATATGTTTGAAAGTTTCTTGGTTGTTGCACTTCTAAATCTGATGGCCAATGGCATACATTCATCATCTCTCAGGCAAAGTCAAGATGCTCTCTAACTCTTTGACCTTAGAAGGAGGACCTGTGACATCGAGGTCATAAATCCTTCTCACTGTTGAACACTCAGATTTATTCACTGCTATCCCTGAAACTGATTCAGTGTATTAAGACCAAGAAAAGAAGAGCCAGGGGAATTTGAAAGCAGAAGGGAAGGCTGGAACATGCAGGCCAATAAGCGTCATTGTCAGTCAGTGGCTGCATCTCCCCAGGAGAGAAACTATGCAAATGTTTGTCACAAGGGACAGGTAAAAAGTCTGTGAAAAAATTATGGCCTTTTTCTGTACGCAGAGAGCTAAGAAACACATGCTATCACCAATTATAATTTTTATAATATTTCATATTTAATGTAGAATAGCATTTGAAGAACATAGAAGTCAGGAAAAAGAATACAGAACTCAAGAGAAAGAGGTCCTCAGTAAAGTAAAATTAGACCCTAAGTTCTCAGAGTTTTAAGCTTGATTCCAGAACTAGAGTCCTAATTTAAGGCAAACAGATGGAAATGCAATAAAGCAAAATTAATGTGCTTAGTTTGTTCCATTTTGTATGTCTTTGTGAATATGTGCTTGTATTTAACATCCTGGCCCAGTGCATAACTTTGAAAGTCCTTAGATGACACTTGAGTAAAATGAAAAGAACATAAATTCATCCTTGTTCTCTTTGTGCCACTGAGTAGGTGGGAAAAAAATCCCTGAGCCTAAGAACGTTTGCCTTTTAAAATGAATGTAATCTCAGAGTAGTTTTTATCCAGGCAGTGAATCACTTTTAAAACTCTCAGGCACCATGCTCCAAAGACATTAAAAAAAACTGTGAGGACGCATTCTCAGCTAAGTGTGGAAACAGGATTTTTCCAACAGAGATTTAAGGAGAAAGTTTGCTCTTGAAAGAGAAGCACCAGGGCTAAAATTAGCTAGAAACGCCCTGATGAACAAAGAGTTGCTAAAGCCACCAGAAAAAAAACTAGTAAACCCAGTTGAAAAATGAGGCTTCCCTGGAAGGAACTCCTAAAAGAGAACAGGGATTTAAGTCTTCAAGAAAGGAGGCAGTATAGATAAAGCCTGAGTATAAATAAGCCTGTTTGGTGAATTCCTATGAAAAGTGGATTTGGATCTTAAAATTCAAGAGCGAAAAAGGATTATTAAATCAGTCTCAAGTACTTTTCATAGCTACAGTGTGAACGCAGAGCAATTGGAGGCCATCATGCTAAAGATCCCCAGTAGCCTATCTCCAAGTTCTAAAGAAGTCCCCCCATCCTAACCAGGTGAATTCTGAATTGGAGAAGAGTCAAAAGAGTCAAGCAGAAGTATTTAAACGTTGAGGAAATGGTCAAAGTTGCAGTGACATGCTGTTTCCACTCATCTGACTCCTCTCTACCAAGCACCATACACATCGTGACCCTTTTCAAGACATGGGTATGGAGGGCATGGAAGATAGACAACATCCTGCCATGGCAACTAGTAAATGGTCGTTTCCAGCACCAAGGCCGCATGTGTCTGACTGTAAAGCCAGAGCTATGAACCACTGTGATCCACTCGCCTCGGCCTCCCAAAGTGCTGGGATTATAGGTGTAAGCCACCACGCCCAGCCAAATTAACTCTTTTAATCTTTATATTGCCAACTAAGGGGTGCATAACTGTGAAAAATACACATAAATATCAACAAGATTAAGGACTGCTATTATTCTAGGATAAATTTGGGCATTGGTGTGGGCTTTCTCATTTTAAAGTCTACCCGTTTCATCCCCTACATGAAATGGCATATTAACACCACCAGCAGCAGCAAAGGTAAAGACATAATCTCAGAGAGGGCAAGTCCCATGAGTTAATCGGATAAAGGCTGACATTTATTTTTTCCCATAAATTAGTCGTATCATTGGGTAGTCTAGCCACTAGCCATAGTGGGATGCTTGCTTTCTTCACTAGCTATTGGCTCCAAGACACTTTGAGAGTGATGCCAGAGAGAAGCCCACAAGAGCCCGGAGCATTACCAATGCCAGAGATGGCGCCCAACAGGTCTTTGTGGAGGCTGTTGTCCAGGGTGTTTCCCTTCTGTGGCGTCACCAGTGGATTCACAGCTGGCAGAGCCAGGGATTCGTCCTTCACAGTCTGTCAAGGGGAGGAGAGCAGAAACAATCAAAGATGACTGGAAAGGATTCCTCCCCTGTTCTTGGAAGTGCTAGGGCAAGTGCAGGACCAAGCCAGCCTGATGCAGTCAATGTGCCCGCCTGCATGGGAGATGCAGTCTTGAGGTGTGGGCCAGGGAGGAGGGTGGGATGGGTCAGAGGGGGAGCAAGGGGCATGAGATATGGAGGCTGGGTCGGGTTGGAGGAGAGAAATTACATTCTATAAAGTCCTGTTTCTCTTTCCCCAGCATTTCTAACACCTTTCCCTCTCCAGAGCTGATGCCCAACATGTTCTTAGATTATTCTGTTTTTTGTTTTTTCTTTCAGAGACAGCCTTTCCTGCTGTTTCTAACTGGAATGCTGGCCCTTATCTGTAATGCAGGGAATTACAACAGCAGCAATGACAGTCTCTAGATGTTTGTAGCATCACGTAACCTTTTAGTTCGTGGAGAAATCATATTAATTTTGAAGTTAGGTCAGAAAAAGGGATTTTACTTTGATGAAAGCCAAAGAAAGACCTATGTTCATTTTTGTTAGGATTGAAACAGTACAGGGAAGGCCACATTCTACTCTGAATTTCTCACTCTGGTTTGAAAACCAGACAGGGTTAGAGAACACATGTGTGAAATGAAATGGTGTACAGGGTGAGATAAGCGAAGTGCCCTTAGGATAGAGTTTATGCCCTCTAGAGCAGCCACGCAGCACAAAAGTGTACACACGGCTCATCTTAGTGTTATTTAGTAATGCATTTGGAGGTGAAGAGGTAGTGTGAAAATGGGACGCTGTATCACTGTTGGGGTGGGAGGAAGGGACAGAAACATGCATGAGACTCTGCAAGTGTACACCCATAATGACAAGGCGGGAAGGCGGACAACCAAGCCAGTTCTTGAGTCCAGAGTACCAGGGAAAGGGGAAATGCTGAAATAACATCTGCTGAAATTCATAGCAGATAAGCCCTCTGAGGCCAAGAAGAGAGCATTAGAAAGAGAAAGAGTGCGGGTTTTAGATGGTAAAACACTTAAAAACTTTACTAATTAAAAATTATTATAGGTTAACATTTAAAAAACCTTTTGCAATTGAAATGTGACAAGAAATTTGATAATGATAAAGCTTTGAAAAAGCTGAATTACAAGATGATTCCAAGAATCCTTTTTAAATAACAATCATATCAAAGGTACCAAAGACTGAGTAAAAAGTAAAACCATCTCTAAGCAAAAAGTTGTGAGATAATTTCCAGGATCATCTCTCCGTCGACTCAATTTCCAACACCTTTGAAAGACAGCATAAAGATAATATAAATGAAGGCAGTCAGTTCTTGGAGGTGGAGGCCCCAGTCCCTCACCTAGGCATCCCTGTCCAGTCTCACTTCTAATTTGACAGAGGGAGACAAACTGTGGCGCACAGAGGTGGCCTTTCCCAGACTGTGCAGCATGTAACTGTCAGAACTGGGGTTACCATGACCTCTTCTAGGACATGGGTTAGATCTATGTCTTTTTTGTGTCTCTTTCCCCCCATGCATTTTTACTGAATATACAAATGAAAATTCTGAGGCCTCATAGGACATTCGTTCATCATGAGAACATGGGTTTCACCCTTAATTTTTAACAAGAATTGAAGGTTTAGTGGTTGACCTTATTTAGCCAGAAATGCAACTTACCAGGAATTGCACTGGCAAAATACAGTGGGGGTATGTACTGGGTTGAGTAGTGTCCCCCACAAATTCATTTCTCCCTGGACTTCAGAATGTACCCTTATTTGGAAATATGTCTTTTAATTTAAGATGTAATTTAAAATGAGTTCATACTGGGTGGACGCTAAACCCAATAACTAGTGTCCTTATAAGAAGAGGAGAGGGGACCAGGCATGGTGGCTCATGCTTATAATCCCAGCACTTTGGGAGGCAGAGGCAGGTGGATTGCAAGGTCAGGAGTTAGAGACCAGCCTGGCCAACATAGTGAAACTGTCTCTACTAAAAATACAAAAAATTAGCTCAGTGTGATGGTGGGTGCCTGAAGTCCCAGCTACTCGGGAGGCTCAGGCAGGAGAATTGCTTGAACCCAGAAGGCGGAGGTTGCAGTGAGCTAAGATTGCACCACTGCACTCCAGCCTGGGCAACAGAGCAAGACTCTATCTTGGAAAAAAAATAAAGAAATAAGAGGAGAGGGACAGAGAGGCAGACAAATACCAGGGAGAACAAACACCAAGTGAGGATAGAGGCAGAGACTGGCACGATGGCACTGCAAGCCAGAGAGCACCAAAGATTGCCCGCAGCATCAGCAGCTGCGAGAGGAGCATGGCCAGACTCCTCCCCAGGAGCCTCTAGTAGGAACCAACCCCAATGGAACCTTGATTTGGGACTTCTGGTCTCCTGACAGGAAGAGAATAAATTGCTGCCGCTCTAGGCAGCAGCTTATGGTGCTTTGTCCTGGCTTCCCTGGGACCCAATATGTGCTGAGTTAATGTGACCATGTTTACGTACCACGCCCGCATTCACGGGGAAGGGTGACACATCCCTCACATTGATCCGCTGGACATTTTCAATCAGCAGACCAAACAGAGGCAGGTAGAGGGTGGCTATCCTTGCCTGATGACTCTGAAAAGAAGACACAAGTGGTAAGTTTATCCTAGAGTTCTGAGAACTGAACTAAGGTTGGCACTGACCATTTCCTTTATTTGGATCCTTCCTATAAAGACAGATAGTTGATTTTTATTCCCAAAACAGAGCAAAGTCTTAGTGCTGTTACTGTGAATTTTCTAATTGACTACTTTCTTTACACCACTTAAAATAAAGGACATCATCAATGCACATTCCTTCTACTGGGGACCACTCACCCTTGAAGCATATCTGTCATCAAAAGAATGCTTTATCAGCAGGTTCTTGAGCACACTGATGGCAATCAGACGAACCTCCCGGAACTCCTGGAGGGCTGTCCCCACCTCCCTCAGTAACAGTCCCACCAAGAAGTGGTTTCTGCAGAACTCATCTGTTAATGAGTAGTCAAGCTGGAGGTCTGAAATGAGGACAGAAACTACTTGAGGTAGGAAAGATGCAATGCTCTTTGAATAATAATAAAAACACCCTAAGACCCATCCTCTGCATTCAGCCCACCTTGGGTGTCAACAGACGATTAGACTAAGCTTTGAATGGGAAAGGATCAACTCTACAAGGCTGCTCTACTTCTTAGCACATGAGGATCTTAAATGAAAACTAAATTTAAATACAATTAAGTGCACTGGATTTTGGAACATATTGCATCCTACATAAATTAGTAAACAGTTTAAGTACCAATTTTTAGACTAGAGGACAGCATACGTTATATTACAAATATAAGTTTGTTATTGACAAAGTTAAAAACGTTATTATACTAGTTAACAGAACTGTATAAAAGCAGTTTGTGGGTAACAAACATGTAATTAAATAATAAACATACATGGTTTATTAAAATGTTATTTACTACAAGAGTTCATGTATTCCTTTCCTGGTCATTAATGCCTATATACTCCCATTAAAACCCAATGTATTTAAAATAAACAAATCAATATATAACCAGCTTATTTTGCTATCCCTGAATGAAGAACTTATTTAATGCAGTATTTCCTACGATATTCTCCTAATATTTCTCTACCTCAAAAACCAAATACAAATTTAATATAAACTGAAATTAAAATGGACAAAGCATCAAACCAGACTGGTAAATCATCAGCAAGCTAAATGACAAAATTGAGAGCTCTTGTGGAAAACAGATAGGAGCAAACATGAACACCACTTAGGGACGGTGCATATAAACAGCCGAACATCACCTGAATATGAAATACACATTTCAGGAAGCTGAAGCTTGGATGTGAATTGTCAGACTGACTCCTCCATTAAAGGAGTCTACAGACCTCTCCCTTTGCCTTTCGTCCCATATCAGATAGCTACTCCTAAATCTACCCAAAATATGGACCCAACTTCTATGAAACCCCTTTAGTAGAAGGGGGAGAATATTCATTTTCTAGATTATGTTCATTGTTTATGATTATTACACCTAGTTTATCTAAACTATAAGTCATAGCTTGAATTCACATAAATCTCTTAGAAGAAAACAACTTATGGTTTAACTGTGTGTGTGCTCACACATCAGTGCTTGTGTGCATGAGAAATTACGTATCTGGATGTGCGTCCCCTTCAAATCTCATGTTGAAATGTGATCCCTAGTGTTGGAGGTGGGGCCAGGTTGGAGGTGTTTGGTCATGGGGACGAATCCCTCAAGAATGGCTTGGTGTCCTCCTTGCTATAATGAGTGAGTTCTAGCTCTGGGTTCATGCGAGATCTGGTTGTTTACAAGAGTGTGGCGCCTCACTCCCCATCTCTCTTGCTTCCTCTCTTGCCTTGTGACATGCTGGCTCCCCGCTTGCCTTCTGCCATGATTGGAAGCTTCCTGGAGCCTCACCAGAAGCCAATGTTGCCATCATGCTTCTTATACAGACTGTAAAACTGTGAGCCAAAATAAACCTCTTTTATTTATTTGTTTTTTGAGAGAGGGTCTTGCTCTGTTGCCCAGGGTGGAGTGTCATGGCACAATCTGTCCAGATTGCAGATTTCACTGCAATTTCTGCCTCTTGGGCTTAAGCTATCCTCCCACCTCAGCCTCCCATGTAGCTGAGACCACAGGTGCATACCACCACGCCAGGCTAATTTTTGTTTTTTTTGTTTTTTGTAGAGACAGGATTCCATTATATTTCCCAGGCTGATCTCAAACTCCTGGCTCAAGTGATCCTCCCAGCTCAGCCTCCCAAAGAGCTGGGGTTATATAAGCACGAGCCACCGCACTGGCCCTCTTTTCTTTATAAATTACCTAGTCTCAGATATTCCTTTATAGCAACACAAATGGACTAACGCAAGAAAGGAGGTGAAGGCAGGAGTGGAAGGTAAGTGAGAAGAAAGAAAATGGAAATTCTAAAAAGCATTTATTGCTATCAGTGTAGTAAGGCAAATTACCCACAGATGTTCCCTCCACACTGAGGGCAGCCCGTCTTGCTACCAAATACCCTAGAAGTACCAGCTTGTGCTGGGTCATGGGGAGACAGGCATCATCACACATTCACTGCACAGCCACTGGGCAAAAAGAGCTCCCTGGGTTCTGTGCCAGGTAGAAGGAGAGTCCCCAGGTACAGGAGACTGGGCTGAGGGAGGCTGTGGTGAGGTTGGGAGCGTAGGGCAGGCGAGAGGGGTTAATTCCAGTTGGGGAACTGGAAGAAGGAAAGGAGACCCAGGGAGGTCCCACGTAGGAGGCGTGGAGTGGCTGGCCTGGGGAGGAAAATGAGGATTCCCCAGGGAGGGGGCTATTTGAGGTGGAGGGGTGGCATGATATGTTTGAGGAGCTGGGAGTCAGCAGCGATGCCTGGGATGTGCAGAATAGGGGGGCGTGAGATGACAGAGGTCGGGGGCCAGGGTTAGATCAGAAGACACTGAATACCTATCTGTTCCTTCAGCCCAGAAAAACTTTCCCCAGATACGCGGGAGCTTGGCTCACCCCTCACTTTCTTCTAACTGCTCTCTGGCTACCCTGTCTCAAATGTCACCCCTTTCCATATCCCCTTTCCTTGCTTTGTCTGTTCCCCTTAGGATGCATTGGGGTCTGACATTCTATGTATCTTGTATATATAGAATAGCTGGGGTTATCATCCAGGTTGTACAGAACTTATTCTGAAGCTCGATATAGTTGGTGCAGGGGAAGTATTTGTTGAATGCTTGAATGCCAACTCCAGGGCACAGTCCCCCTGCCTCATCTTAAAAGGCAGGAGCAGTCTGTGTGGGGGAAAGCTGTTTGTCTCCGAATGATGCCTTTCTGTGTTTCTCTCGGAATTCAGAAGCAGTTGATTCAGGTGCCATTACCAGCGGGGTGGCATCCGTCCACTTTTTCTCTCCTGTAGCACAAAACACCTGAGCACATACAGGGAACTAAGCTCAATACATTCTGCTTGACAGTTCGACAGACTAATGTGTTCAATTTGATTTACTCAGTGAAGACAAAGAAATCTCCATGAGCTCAACTCTCTTTACACTTAAAGAGAACATGGGACATTAATAAAGACTCAACGTGCAAACATAAAAAGCATGTGAAAAAGCCACATTGCTTGTGATTTAGGTGACTGCCACCACTATGGACAAGGGCTATGAAAATAGTGGAATAATGCATTTTGGGGTGAAGCAGGATGTTTGTTTGTTTTACTTCTTAAAGAAACATCCTAGAGTACTCAGTGACTTCAGTAGCCAAAAACCGGATGCCTCCCTGGGATGTTATAGCAGTGTCTCAGCAATTTCACTCCAGTAAAAACAAATTCACTGATTTCTGGTAAGTTTACAAATTGATCAAAGTACACAGGAAATGCCTAACAGAACAGCATATGGAAGCAGTTCAGCCATCACTTGCATTCTTTATTTTTTAGAGGAGGAAAATGCAAGAAAGCAAGCACCACACCCCACACCTACCTACAGGAGTGTCATTTGACTCCACAGCTGGTGAAAGAAAAGCTAATTCATAAGAAAAAAGGAAAGGTGAAACAAATAAAAATAAGCTATGGCAACTGAAATAGATTTCTTTTGTTTAAGCAAAGGAATTTTTCAATGAAATAGCCACACTGGCATGATCTGTAGTCTGACTGCTGTGAAGTAAGTTCCCATATTTTATCAGTATTATTTGAAATGATTTTTTTTCTTATAAAATTTCCAATCAGTGAAAAAATCAGAAAATTCAAGTATCATGCTTGAATCAATTATCTTTTCTTATTAAACAGAAATGCCTCTCTTTATAAAAAGGTTATGATATAAAGATGGATTACCTTGGTATCTCTGAATCCTGCCTTTTCCAAATGGCATTGGTAAGTTCAATGGAATATAATGTTCATGGTTGCATACCACACGGAGAAATTCAAACTTGAATTCAAAGAGGGTCTGCAGGAAGAAGTGCTTAGTCATAAATACCCCACTGGATATTTTATTCAGGATTCTAAAAAGCCTATTGGCAATAGTATGCTAGAAATCGTCATTAGCTTCTTAACTTTCTTAGAAGGCTGAACTCTATTGCACTGTACAGACTTCAGGATGGCTGCAGGGATTGATTTGAAAACTAAGGACACATTTCATTAAACAACGACTTCAACTGATTTTTAGGGCATTATTTATGCTCCTCCTTCTTCAAGGAAGGATTTCAGGTAGCTTATAATTACAGACACAGACTCAGTACAATAAAAAAGTTAGTAAGGCAGAGCTTTAAAAAAAAGGGAAAAAGATAATTCTACCAGAGAAAGGCTACATAGTGACTCCTGTTATCTTGTGAAGTAAACTATAATTCACTACACATATACTTTTAGTTTTGCAGTTGAGAAGTCATTTCAGGTGTTTAAGAGAAAATCAGTGGGTATGTTTCTTTCTCATTCTGGATTACTATGTTCCTAATATCGCACACATATTAATGTTTCCAACATAGGAGTGAGTTATGTCTCTGAGACTGATAGAGAAACAGGTGGATTTCTGATGTGAATCAGAGAGACAAAAGGAACAGTGACAACCCTCACACTACCTTAGGGTCTCCAGGAGCAAAGCAGCTAATGTAGTTGTTGATCTGCTTGAAGACAAAGCCCCTGTCCATGAAGGTGAAACATCTCTGTGGAGGAATACAAGCAAAAAGATATTTCAGGTTCAAACGTTTCGGAAATTTGAATTCAAATCAGCATTTATTGTTAATAAGTTTATCTGTGGACATAAAGACATGCCATCAACACTGCCAGAGAACCCACTATATTTTAGTCACTCTGCTAGACGGCTTATAAAAAGCACATCTTTGTCCCATAACTGACATCCTTTTCCCTGGAGGTCCCCACCTTGATGAAGACAGCAAGGCTATGATTTGCGTTCTTAGATGCCTCTGGATTATCTCGAAACTTCTGAGTGATGTGTGGCATCAGCATATTTACAACGGTTTCCACTGCATGATGATAGGATGCAGGAAATCTCTGGTTTCGCAACAACTAAAGAGAATTCAGTGAAAACAATTATTATTTTTCAAGTTGCAATCATTTGGGAGGAAAAAAAATCTTACCCCTAAGTCCATCTTAAAAAACCCAGAGTTTCTTGCTGGGTACAGTGGCTAACACTTGTAACCCCAGCACTTTGGGAGGCCAAGGTGGGGAGATCACTTGAGCCCAGGGGGTTAAGACCAGTCCGGGCAACGTAGCAAGATTCAGTCTGTACAAAAATTGGCTGGGTGTGGTGGCATGCACCTTGGAGGCTCAGGTGGTAGGATTGCTAGAGCCCAGCAGTCTGAGGCTCAGCCACTGCACTCTAGCTAGGGTGACAAAACAAGATCCTGTCTCAAAAAACCCAATAAAACCTCAAAGTCCTAGTCTTCTTTATCTGAAATTGGAAAAAATGAATTATTCTTCCTTCTTTCAATGTACTGTACAAGTGGTCAAATACTTCAAGTAAGTGCTGTGGATTCTAATTGGAACTTCAAACTTCAGCGTAATAAAGCTCACCTCAGAAGTGTTTGTAAAAAGGTGGAGGTTCATCCATTCCCGAAGATTCTGATTCAGGAGCCCGGCAGGGGATGCAGGGAGAAGGGGCAAGGACCTGCATTTGGACTGAGCATCGTTGATGATTCTGGTACCTGTACCTCTCAGAGATCTCTTTAGAAAGCACTGGCTTACATTTAAGCTCCAAATAGCCAAACTGAAAATACACATTTTGATGATTGGGCATGACTAGTTTAAACTGCTTGGCAGCAGTCTTCTTACAATCAACTTTACATAGTAATCTTTCCCCATCAGGAACCTAAAAAATTTTACCCAGATTACTTAGCAATTAGCCAACATTTATAAAAATCTTCTACATGTCAGGCATTACACTACATATTTTTACGTAATTTTTAATTCAACTCTTAGGATACTCCTATAAGTTTAATCCTCATTTGTTAAAGTGTCAGAGAGGTTAGGTACATGTGTTCTCAGTCACACAACTAACAACAATTTAGACCCAGGTCTACCATGAATCCAAAACTTGGCCTCTTTCTGTTACATGAAGCCACACTGCCCCCTCCCCTGTGCATATAAACAGAATAATTTACTGAGAGCCTGAAATAGGAAGGATGCTCCATTACATTGATCTATTCATGCACTTAATTCTAACAGCCACAAGAGGGGGGTATTTTCACCCCCATTTTATAGATGGGAAAACGGAGGCTTAGAGAGCTTACTAAAAAGACCTTTAATAAAACCCCCTTTGTCTTCCCCCTTTCAGTAACGGAACAGTAATGGTTTTACAAGGGCACGTGGCTGCCAAGCTAGACTACATTTTCCAGTCTAATTTACCACTAGGTATGAACCACATGACCAAATTATGGAAGGGATACATGCCTTGTTCAGGCTCCGCTCTTAAAAGGAGCCGCTGGCCTCCCTTGTTTCTTCCTGTGCCACTGCCTGGACTTTTTTGTGGCGGTGAGCCAGCTTCTCAGCCATGTGGATGAGGTTAACACCGCAGGCTGGATGACTGGATGGGAGGAGCTGGAGTCACTGAATGACCTTGGGGAACTAGCTGCCCTGACCTCCAAACTGCCTCCCAAACTCATGATTGTCCAAGAGAGAAACGACCTGCTGTCGAATTTTAAACCACTAACATTACGACCTGTTTTACAGCAGCCAAACCAATGTCCCAATATCAAACAAATAGTATTTTCTAAAACTGAGAAGTGGAATTAAGACATTTCTGACATGACAGCAGGCATTATCTTATGCATTAAATGCCAGAACCTGTTGGGAATATTTGAAATACCAGTCTTATAACAATTTCAATTCTCAAACCAATAACAAGAAAATGTTTATAAACTTCCATAGAGTCAAGAATTCAGTGAGGAAAGAATCAAGTAATAAAAATGTGAAGTTCACCAACTTTAAAAAAACAGATATATACCCACATGAGAAGCAAGAAGAGATCTAAAATTGACACCCTATCATTAAAATTGAAACAGCTAGAGGAGCAAGATCAAAAAAACTCAAAACCTAGCAGAAGACAAGAAATAACTAAGATCAGAGCAGAACTGAACGAGATAGAGACACAAAAAACCCTTCAAAAAAATCAATAAATCCAGGAGCTGGTTTTTCAAAAAAAATCAACAAAATAGACCACTAGCCAGATTAGTAAAAAAGAAAAGAGAGAATAATCAAATAGATGCAATAACAACGATAAAGGGGATAGCACCACAGATTCCACAGAAATTCAAACCATCATCAGAGATTATTACAAACAACTCTATGCACATAAACTAGTAAACCTGGAATAAATGGATAAATTCCTGGACACTTGCGTCCTCCCAAGCCTAAACCAGGAAGAAGTCAAAATCATGAATAGACCAATAACAAGATCTGAAGTTGAGGCAGCAATTAAGAGCCTACAACCCAAAAAAAGCTCAGGTCCAGTTGGGTTCACAGCTGAATTCTACCAGACACACAAAGAGGAGCTGGTACCATTCCTTCTGAAACTAATCCAAATAATCCAAAAAGAGGGAATCCTTCTCAAATCATTTTATGAGACCAACATCATCCTGATACCAAAACCCGGCAGAGACTCAGCAAGAAAAGAAAACTTCAGGCCAATATCCATCATGAACATAGACGCAAAAATCTTCAATAAAATACTGGCAAGCCGATTGCAACAGCAAATCAAAAAACTTATCCATCATGATCAAGTAGGATTCATCCTGGGGATGCAAGGCTGGTTCAACATACGCAAGTCTATAAACATAATTCACCACATAAACAGAACCAAAGACAAAAACCACATGATTATCTCAATTGATGCAGAGAAGGCCTTTGACAAAATTCAACAGCCCTTTATGCTAAAAACCCTCAATAAACTCTGTATTAATGAAACATATCTCAAAATAATAAAAGCTATTTATGGCAAACCAACAGCCAATATCATACTGAATGGGCAAAAACTGGAAGCATGCCCTTTGAAATCTGGCACTAGACAAGGATGTCCTCTCTCACTACTCCTATTCATTATAGTATTGGAAGTTCTAGCCAGAGCAATCAGGCAAGAAGAAGAAATAAAGGGTATTCATATAGGAAAGGAGGAAGTCAAATTGTCTCTATTTGCAGATGACACAATTGTATATGTAGAAGACCCCATTGTCTCAGTCCAAAATCTCCTGAAACTGATAAGCAACTTCAGCAAAGTCTCAGGATACAAAATCAATGTGCAAAAATCACAAGCATTCCTATACACCAATAACAGACTTAAAGAGAGCCAAATCAAGAACGAACTGCCATTCACAATTGCTACAAAGAGAATAAAATACATAGGAATACATCTAACAAGGAACGTAAAGGACCTCTTCAAGGAGAACTACAAACCACTGCTCAACGAAATAAGAGAGGACATAAACAGATGGAGAAACATTCCATGTTCATGTTTAGGAAAAATCAATATCGTGAAAATGGCCATACTGCCCAAAGTAGTTTACAGATTCAATGCTATCCCCATCAAGCTACCAATGACCTTCTTCACAGAACTGGAAAAAACCACCTTAAATTTCATATGGAACCAAAAGAGAGACTGCATAGCCAAGTCAACTCTAAGCAAACAGAACAAAGCAGGAGGCATCACACTACCAGACTTCAAACTATATTACAAGGCTACAGTAATCAAAACAGCATGGTACTGGTACCAAAACAGAGATAGAGACCAATGGAACAGAACAGAGGCCTCGGAGGCAACACAACTTATCTACAACCATCCAATCTTTGACAAACCTGACAAAAACAAGCAATGGAGAAAGGATTCCCTGTTTAATAAATGGCGTTGGGAAAACTGGCTAGCCATGTGCAGAAAGCAGAAACTGGACCCCTTCCTGACACCTTACACTAAAATTAACTCCAGATGGATTAAAGACTTAAACATAAGACCTAACACCATAAAAACCCAGAAGAAAACCTAGGCAAAACCATTCAGGACATAGGTGTAGGCAAGGACTTCATGACCAAAACACCAAAAGCATTGGCAACAAAAGCCAAAATAGACAAATGGGACCTAATCAAACTCCACAGCTTCTACACAGCAAAAGAAACATTCCTTAGAGTGAATCAGCAACCAACAGAATGGGAAAAAATTTTTGCAGTCTACCCATCTGACAAAGGGCTGTATCCAGAATTTACAAAGAACTACAACAGATTTACAAGAACAAAAGAAACAAGCCCATTCAAAAGTGGGCAAAAGACATGAACAGACACTTTACAAAAGAAGACATACATGAGGCCAACAAACATATAAAAAATTCTTATAATCATTGGTTATTAGAGAAATGCAAATCAAAACTACATTGAGATACCATCTCATGCCAATTAGAATGGCGATCATTAAAAAATCTGGAGACAACAGATGCTGGAGAGGATGTGGAGAAATAGGAACACTTTTACACTGTTGTTGGGAGTGTAAATTAGTTCAATCATTGTGTAAGACAGTGTGGTGATTCTTCAAGGACCTAGAAAAAGAAATTCCATTTGACCCAGCAATCCCATTACTAGGTATACATCCAAATCGTTCTACTATAAGGACACATGCACACAAATGTTCACTGCAGCACAGTTTACAATAGCTAAGACCTAGAACCAACCCAAATGCCCATTGATGATAGACTGGACAGGGAAAATGTGGCACATACACACCATGGAATATTATGCAGCCATCAAAAACGATGAGTTCGTGTCCTTGGTAGAAACATGGATGAACCTGGAAACCATCATTCTAAGCAAACTGACACGAGAACAAAAAAATCAAACACCACATGTTCTCACTCATAGGTGGGTGTTGAACAATGAGAACACATGGACACAGGGAGGGGAGCATCACACACTGGGTTCTGTTGGGGGGACATAGGGGAGCGACAGCAGGGGGGTGGGGAGTTGGGGAGAGATAGCATGGGGAGAAATGCCAGATATATGTGAAGGGGAGGAAGGCAGCAAATCACACTGCC